GCAAAGGTTAAACCCTTACAATTTTTGATTTTTCATACAAATTTGATTTATCCCAATTTTGCTAAAAATGCAAGGTTAACCCATTACAATCTGAATTTTTTTCATAAACACCTGATTTTGTCCTATTTTGCTAAAAAATGCAAGGTTAACCCCTAACAATTCGAAGAGCAAGGTTAACCCCTTACAATTTAAAATTTTTCAGAAACATCTCATTTTGCCGAATTTTCTAAAAATGCTTAGTTAACCCCATACAATTCTGCAATTTTCCAGAAACATCTGATTTCTCCCAATTTCGTTTAAAAAAATGCAGGGTTAACCCCTTTCAATCTTCAACTTTCCAGAAACATCTGATTTTGCCCTAGTTTGGCAAGGTTCACCCCTTACAAATTTTGATTTTTCATACAAATCTGACTTTGCCCAATTTTGCTAAAAATGCAAAGTTAACCCCTTAAAATCTGAAATTTTCCATAAACACCTGATTTTGCCCTATTTTGCTAAAAAATGCAAGGTAAACCTCTGACAATTTGAAATTTTTCATAAACATTTAAATTTTTTCCAATTGTACTAAAAAAGCAAGGTTAACCCCTTACAATTTGAAATTTTTCATACACATCTTATTTTGCCAAATTTCACTAAAAAAGCAAGGTTAACCCCTTACAATCTGAAATTTTCCAGAAAGATCTGGTGTTGCCCAATTTCGCTAAAATATGCAAGGTTCACCCCTTACAATTTGAAATGTTTCATAAACATCTAACCCCATACAATCTGCAATTTCCCAGAAACATCTGATTTTTCCCAATTTTGCTAAAATGTAAGGTTAACCCATTGCAAACTGTTAAATCAATACATAAGGTGTCCCATTTGACTTTTTCAAAACAAATTATATTTCCAGTTTTTAGGGTAAAGGAATTTTCTCTTTTTCCTTTCTCTTTTGTTGTTGCTATATTTTGCGAATTAACTCATTCGTATGGAATGCTCATAGTCAATCAAAGAATATTTCACACATAGGGGCCTAAATTATATTTTTTAAATTTAATAGAGACGCAATGATCGTGCTATCATATACCATTCTATTACTATTGCGAATTACTGTATTGTTTGGAATGCTCACAATTAAAGACACGTTATTTGAAAGATATATAAATAATATTTATATTACAATGTACATCTTTATTCTTTCCCGGTATAATTTATGGCGTTTCTTACGTCAATTGGCAATCGCGTCATTATATAATGATAGTCAAATTGATCAAACGAAACTCCGTTTTGAATATAGTCAATTATGAAATATTCATTGATTTATGACATACACCTTTGATTCAATTTTGATACTACCCGTAGACCTGCCGAGCAGCTGTAGATATCAAACTAAACCAAAAAATAAAAGATAGAGGGTAAAAAAATCAAAAAGTTATGTGCTAGTCAAGCTTTCAGGGATCGGTCTGAGCCATAACAATGCCCCAGCCGATCCCTTAGTTCTCTTCCGGGGTCTCGGCGTCCCCGACCAATACACACTTCCTTCCCTATCCATCCATATAACCCCGGAGGGCCAGGCACTATGTAAAAGCAAAGAGCTAAGGGAGGAACAGGGCGGCCCCTAAGCCCTGATCCTCCGAGTGGACCACATGCCCTGAACCTGTACGAAGGCGCCAACCTGGAACTCGCGGACAGTACCAGCAGCAGTGCTTACCGATTAAGCTGGTACTTTACGACGGGAAATTAAATCTCTTATAGTAAATAATTGAACTCATACGTTAAAAACCAAAAAGACACCAGCGGGATTCGAACCCGGGACCCCGCTAACCGTGGACGACGAATCGTAACCACTCGGCCATTTCGTTACCTTAGAATTTTCCTTAAACTGAGAAAAGTTGTCTTTATAGGTGAACAAACGCGCCAGGAAGATTACTGGGTCCATTTGCTTTACCTTAATGGGTAAAAACAAGTCGATATAATGAGCCCAGTGTGTTTGGTTTGTTAGGAAGCTGCATAACACAGCCTAATGTGCAAAACAGTCGTGTGCTAGGCGGATCATTACCGTCAACAATGAACACCGCAATTGTGTATTTTTAAAAGGCAGACGCGTAGATTTCTACTCTTTGTATCTGGGCACATATAGATTCTCACCTCCCTCTTCAGCTATTTCGACTTTCTTAAAAAGAAAAATAGAGACTGTCAGCGAATATCCGGGAGTTGAAATAAGGATCGTCCCCTCGAAAGACCTCAGACTCAGTAAAGCTCAACATTGGGCTCTTTTTCAACAGCTGTTTTTGCGGAAACTTTACATCTGGATTTTTTAGAAGCATCTGATTTTGCCCAATTTTAGTAAAATATGCTCCAAATTTTGCTAAAAAAGCAAGGTTAACCCCTTACCATTTTAGATTTTTCATACAAATCTGATTTTGCCAAATTTTACTAAATATACAAGGTATACAATTTAAAAATTTTCAGAAACATTTCTTTTTGCCCAATTTTGCTAGAAATACAAGGTTAAGCCCTAACAATCTGCAATTTTCCAGAATCATCTGATTGTGTCCTATTTTGCAAAAAAAAATGCAAGGTTAACCCCTTACAATTTGAATTTTTTTCATGAACATCTAATTTTCCCCAATCTTATTCAAAAAGCAAGGTTAACCCCTTACAATCTGCAATTTTCCAGAAACATTTGATTTTTTTCCGATTTTCGCTTTAAAAAAAATGCGAGGTTAACCCCTTTCAATTGGTTAGGTTAGGCCAAAAAAAAAGTCTCCGGTTTCTGGTATGGAGCTTGCCCAAAAAGTGGTGCGGCGACGCGGCTTGTTTTTTTTACCTGTTTTTTTTTTGCTTCAAATGTCGGCTGATGACTGCAAATGGTGCCCGACTAAACTTAGTGCAAATATTATGGGAGACCAGAGAGGCCACATAAAGCTTATTCTCGATCATAACCCCATCTAAAAACACGTTAAAATTTTGCAGCAGCAGGATTCCAGTCAAACCAGTGAGTTTGGCGGTTTTGAGACATCATCGTTCATTGAAAATAAAAACTTTTTCATTTTGCCGACGCGCATGGCTACGTCGACGCGCGCGCATACCAGAAACCGGAGACTTTTTTGTTTGGCCTTAATCACTTACATCTGAATTTTTCGGAAACATCTGATTTTGCCCAATTTCGCTAAAATATGCAATGTTCACCCCTTACAATTTGAAACGTTTCATAAACATCTAACCCCATACAATCTGCAATTTTCCAGAAACATCTGATTTTTCCCGATTTTGCTTTAAAAAATGCAAGGTTAACCCCTTACAATTTGATTTTTTTTTTCATAAACATCTAATTTTGCCCAATTTTACATCAGCTTATGCTAACAAATTATCAGGTAACTGGATCATTAAACGGGATAGGTGCACATCGGCCTTTCAGCTCAGACCATGTGTCATGCACTCCTCAATGCATAGATGATGCACGTAACACTATGGGTAGTACAGGCACAGCTGGGGGTACTGCCCAAACAATGATGAACGCATTGCGTATGCTTAAAGAATTACCCACAAGTCCGGTTTTTACCATTTAGGTCTGGCTCTAATCAGTTTACGCGATCCCCTGACGTCTCATACACTGACTTTAGGCAAAATAGTCAGACCCTTGCGGTCTAATAACCAGACTTTGACTCTTAAAGAAACATCGAACGAAAAGGGAAATATCAAATGCATATTGCAAAAGATCGAATGCAAACATACCGATGAAACATCGAATACAAATAGCTCAAAATGTCAAACATATGTGTGAAACATTGCTCACATATTTGAGAATATCGCAAATATATTGTAGAACAACAGTGAACACACACAATTGTATCGAAAAACATCGCACATTTAATGCAAAAAATCGAACACAATATTGAAAACATCGCACATATATATCGTCAAAAACATCGCACATATAAATTGAAAATCGCATATTAATGTAAAACATCGCACAAATATATTAAACATCGCGCAAATAATGAAAAACATCGCACACTTATATTGAACATCGCATATAAATGTAAAAGATAACAAACACATATTGAACATCCAACATATAGATTGCAAAATATTGAATATTGCAAAGTTTGACACGCCATACTATATAGGGTGAGTAAAACAAAGCGAAACCGAAATGCTGGGAATATTGTTTTAGACAAGTTCTGCATAAAGTACTCTCAAAATCAAGGATATGAAATCCCAATTCATAAGCTTTCTTTTAGTACAAGAATCATTCAAATCACCTATGTACTTTTCAAGTTACGGAATTTTAAACACAACCACCGTTTTAAAGTTCTGTCCACAAATCACACAAAAGTGTGCGTTCTTTCAGCAAAACGAAAACAATTCACACACATCCCTATGTGATTTGTTATCGTTTGCTGAAAAACCTTTTTGTGATCCGTGGACAGAACTTAAAAACGGGTAGTTGTGTTTAAAACTCCGTAACTTGAAAAGTACATGAGTAATTTGAATTATTCTTGTACCAAAACAAAGCTTATGAATTGGGCTTTCATTTCCTAGATTTTGAAAGTGCTACATGCAGAACTTCACTAAAACAATGGTGCCGACATTTGGGTTTCGTTTTTTTTTTACTCACCCTGTATCACAGTTGGGGACAGTTGGGAAAAGGGGGAAATACTTTGCCGGATTACATACATATACTACAGTTTTGAACATTTAAATTGGTGCTACTGCTGGTTTATTTAAAAAATTAATTGGTCAAGCAGTCACTCAGTTTATGGGAATAGTGCCGTTGGTTTGTCTGTGAGTGTATTAAGCGTTTTTGTTTTCTTTTCTTTTTAGTTGGGGGTGTGGTGGTGAATTTATTTTTAATTCACATGTTATCATCATAGGCCTAATGATTTCTTAATCAACCCCGTGTGTTTTGTGTCAGTCAAATAACTGTACTGTTTCTGTTTTGTTTACAAAAGCTGTAGTCGTATAGCTTCTCAAAAATGGTTCCAATTGTAAATTAATTTATAGTTTTTGTTTACAGGTACGGTTTGGTTGGTTGGCGATGGTTCGAACCCCGCCAGCGGACGCGTAGAGATCTTCCGTGATGCGACCTGGGGGACAGTTTGCAACAATGACTGGGACACGGATGACGTCCAAGTCGTCTGTCATCAGCTGGGATTCTCAGGGGCTGTGGAAGCCAGGTCTGGGGTTTCTTTTTGCCACGGGGGGGGGGGGGGGGGGGGGGGTTCCAATGGAGGGAGTGGCCTGTGATGGGTCTGAGAGTTTACTGGCTGACTGCCCGTCTAATTGCTGGGAGAGAAAGCTGGTAACCGGCATGTAGCCAGGCTCGAGATGATGGCGCCCTCTGTAGTCAGGATGAAGAAGCCGTGAAACGGTTATCACGGTTTCGGTTGGTGCTAATAATCTGCTGAATCATTTATTTAAAGACTATGTATATTAAAACGTAACTCACAACGTCATTCTGTGACAGAATGATGTATTCACAAATACTCATGTTCAAGGCTGTTTTATTGTTAAGAAGAAAATTTAGTCTATCACTCTAGCAATAAAGTCAAACAATTTACTATAGGCCTATATCTTCCCTGCTAATGCTATTTTGTAAATGGAGTAACGGACTAACATTTAAACATTAAAATGTGTTTCATCCCCCGCCCCCCCAATTTATCCTGCCTTTCGCGTTCGATGGTCAACTTAACTTAAGAAATGTCTTCTCTTCAGTGCCAGTACTTATGTTGGGAAAATACTCCCTTAATCTCCAAAGGTTTCATCTAGAAACGTGATCTGACCCACTTCCCCTCCCTTGCATCCGGATGCTGTCAAAAATGGACACACCAATAAGTAATCGATGGGATTGTCGAAACATCCGTCGGCTTCATCTCTAATTCGGATTCATGTCTGGTTTTAGCACCGTTTACAAGCTTTTCATGCGTAAACCACAAAAAAATACTCTGAACAATATCCTCAAACTATAGCATTTGATTTTTCTGAATCAGAACAGGGACCCATAGTAAGTCACATAGCCCCCAAGTCAGAGGCCTATAAATCCCCCGAAACCAAACCCGGAGAGAAACCAGGGTTTCCATAAAAGTTATATTACTGATCGCCGTGTATTCCTTGAAAGGTATAAGACCCGAGAGTGCGTGTCTTTTAGGTCGATTTATGCACCAAGTAAAATGAAATGAAGGTATATCAAATTTTTCATCACTGATTAACCGAAGAAACGAAGATAATAGGCATTATTACGACGTCTCTATGATATTTCTATATAAATTATGGTTCTCATTTCCGACCAACCCAACCTCGAAGGTCAGAAAATATTAGAACCATAGATTTAAAAGGGATCCATTACACTTTCCAATCAGGGAATGTCAGTTATGTGGTTTGATGTATCATGTATTTTGACTGGAAGTCATGATTGGTAATGTTTTTACCTGGTACATATCATGCGCTTCAACATACTTTGTTTCGCCCAGCCTTAATTCATAGCAAGGCGCGATCTGCGGTTGCGTCGTTCCTGACAGCATTTTGATCGTCTCGTGGAATACTTAAATTCTTCGATCGGTATCTGGGTCTGCCAGAATCTCTCCAATACTGCTTACTTACATCATTCGACGGACAAACATTGAGAGGGAGTTCCTGCTACAAAATGGGTTTCATCTGTCCCAACATTGCTGTGTGGATGTTGTCTGCAGTCATTTACCGTAAGTATGACAAACCATACGAAACAAGTTATTGATGCATATTCGTCTTTACTGGTTCGTTAATAATTGTGATGGCTTCTGGAAATAGAATTTGTTTGGCAAGCCCTAGAGGTCACCTATATGAAGAAAGTTTCGATTCGGTCTTTGAAGTGTATCAGAAACTTTGCTAGCAGTTTCATCGGACAACATAGTGTGGTGTAAGTGTTTTCTATTTATAATATTATATACCGTAAGCACTTTTCGTGTGAAGACCAATCAAGTGACTCAGCAGTGGCACATCGTTACGCCACGAAATGAGTTTTTTATCTCAGGATTTTTCTTCGGAAATGTTCCCTTTTTCGAATCAAAAAGCACATACCATTGAAACGAAATTGAATACAAACGTTAAAAAAATGTAACCCATGAAATGGAACTCTTGCTCTGCATTCCTCTTAATGCTACTCGACGACATTGGCTGGATTTTCATTCAGTTTCGACGAAAACGGTTGATTTTAAAGACCATTTGGATTTTCTTGAACTGATTAATTAACCGAATGATCGAGTATCAAGATCTATAAGGACTCTTTATGACGATTGAATGCTGATGTGAGGGAGCATTCGGGTTTTTGTATAAGGTATTTTTTTTCATGGAAATGTGCTGTGTAAACATTTACATTCCTCCTTTGTCAGAACTGTGCTCCGCCCATCCCATAAGTGAAGAAGGTCCACCATTCAGCGAATCCAAGATAGCCAGACTGTTTACGATTGGTACCAGGGTGGTACGTGGACCAGATTGGCAACATGGAAATCAGGTACAAATCCAAATGTCCATCGGTTGTCCATAAATTCAGTGATGGTTTCTTTTCAAGTTCACGAAAGTCACATGTGGTTTTCCGTTGCCCATGAACTGAAAACTTGTCACGTGAAATAAACGGAAGTTAGAGAAAGCTTTATAATTATGACCCACCATGGTGTATCTTCACGGGTTTTCGCCTGTCTTTCAAAATCTTGATTTAGGCCCAGTCATTTTCCTTTTCCCCGCTAAAGAACAGTACTCCAGTCCGCCGACTGCCATTAACTGTTCAATGACGTGGGTTAAGCCGGAGTGGGATACGGGCTGTACGATACAGTTGCCGAATGAGGAAAGCCTTGTCTAGAACGTGTACGCGCCGGTTGCCGAGAATACAAACTGGATCCATTAATTTGCGCTGCAATCGCAGGGACAGTCGACTGCCTTGAACACAGTATAAGCAACGTAGGATCATTTCCAATTACCCGGAAAAGTGCCTATACCGATTTAAGGACAGAAAGCTTGCCCCAAGCGAAAACAGAACTGGTGTGAAATTATTGCACCTGAAATTGTATAGTTTGGAAGAAAAATAACATTGAAGGTGCATGGTTTCAAAATAATGTGCTCGCTGGCCAATTGGTTTTTTTACGTGCATCAGCAACGGAATCCTTACACCCCCCCCCAAAAAAAAATGGGAAAAGGCTTCTCCGTTTTCTCATACTTTATGCAATCTACCGTAGCTGAAACTTCAACAAGTTAGTTGTTATAATGCACCCTTTAAATTTTGAACAGTTTTGTTGCTACAAACTATAGAGAAAATGCATAAAAAGCAAATGATCCTCCTTTAAGGTGGTGTTGGTTTGTTTATTTACATTTTATTTGACGGTCAGTCGCTCAGTTGATTGGAGTATTATAATGCCATATATTGATTGTGGGTGGGGTTTTTTTTTGGGGGGGGTGGGGGTTGAATGATTGATTTGCTGGTTGGTAGAAATATACATGTAATATTTTATGCTAAGGTTCACTGCCTCCTCAAAACACAACTCTTTGTGGCAGGACGGTAATCCGCCTGGTGAGGGTAGCATCGTCACAGAACTCAGTAGCGGCAACGTTTACGTGTTATGGGACAATGGGCACAGAAATATTTATCGAATGGGAGCAGACGGGAAGTACGACCTGAAACTTGTTGAGGATGCACCTATTCGTTTGGTTGACGGGGATGACGAACTCAGCGGTCAAGTGGAAATCAATCACGACTGGACCTGGGGAACAGTATGTGACGTCAACTGGGACATCCCGGATGCCATGGTCGTCTGTCGTCAGCTCGGCAACTTCTTAGAAGCTGTGGAGGTCAAGACGGGATCGTTCTACGGAGAGAGCGAGCGACCGATCGTGATGAACCGTGTGGCGTGTCGAGGGACGGAGAGTCGGTTGGCTGACTGCCCGTTTGTCTGTACCAGCTCTCGTCCCTGTAATACCTCACAAGTGGCCGGGTTGGTTTGCCGACCAAAACTCAGTAAGAAAGACTGTTACCACTCCTTACTATTTCTCGTATTTTAATACCAAAAACAGTTTGTCTTCACAGCAGGATTTCATTTGTCATTAAAATCATAATTAGGCACTATAGTTCGTCATTCTGATGAGACAGATCTTCATCCGATATCAAGTCTATCTTTTAATACTTCAACTTTCTTTTCATCTTATTTCTTTTCCAAATCTGAAACATTCAACAGTATTCCTTATTTGTCCATGCAGTTAAACATGACTTTTAAAAAATGATATAATTCAATCAATCGCTGTTTTGTTAAAAAAAAAAAAAATCGAACAAAGTGTTTCAAGTTTTAAAGAAAATTATATTTGTTTACCAGATACGGTTCGGTTGGTTGGCGATGATTCGAACGCCGCCAGCGGACGCGTAGAGATCTACCGTGATGCGACCTGGGGGACAGTTTGCGACAACGACTGGGACACGGATGACGTCCAGGTCGTCTGTCGTCAGCTGGGATTCTCCGGGGCTGTGGAAGCCAAGTCCGGGGCTCACTTCGGCCAGGGGGAGGGGCCAATCCACATGGAGGGTGTGGCCTGTGATGGGTCTGAGAGTCAACTGGCTGACTGCCCGTCTCATTGCTGGGAGAAACCGGCATGTAGCCACGCCCAAGATGCTGGCGCCATCTGTCGTCGGGATGAATAAGGCATGAAACGGTTATCACGGCTTCAGTTATAAACATAATCAGCTGAAGCATTTATTCAAAGACTATGTATATTAAAGAAATTCGTAACTCACAAGCTCATTCTATGATAGAATGATGTGTTGAAAAAAAAATCATATTTAGCTCACAAATACTCATGTTCAAGGTTGTTTAGTGTTAAGACAAATTTTTAGTCTATAGCTCTAGCAATACAGTCAAACAATTTACTATAGGCCCATATCTCCCCTGCCAATGTTATTTTTTAAATGGAGTAACGGACTAACATTTAAACATTAAAACTGTTTCATCCCCTCCCCCCCCCCAAAAAAAAAATTGTCCTGCCTTTCGCGTTCCACGGTCAACTTAACTTATTAAAATGTCTTCTCTTACCAGTACTTATGTTGGGAAAATACTCTCTTAATCTTCAAAGGTTTCATCTAGAAACGTGATCTGGCCCACATCCCCTCCCTTGCATCCGGATGCTATCACAAATCGCTGGACACACCAATTACGTAATCGATGGGTTTGTCGAAACATTGGCTTCATATCCAATTCGGATTCATCTCTGGTTTTAGCACCGTTTACAAGCTTTTCATGCGTAAACCACAAAAAAATACTCTGACCAATGTCCTCAAACTATAGGATTTGATATTTGTGAATCAGAACAGGGACCCATAGTAAGTCACATAGCCCCCAAGTCAGAGGCCTATAAATTCCCTGACACCAAATCCGGAGAGAAGCCAGGGTTTCCGGAACCGTTATAATACTGATCGCCGTTTATTCCTTGAAAGGTATATGACCCGAGAGTGCGTGTCTTTTAGGTCGATTTATGCGCCAAGTATTACTTGCCCGGATGCTTGGAAGTCCGGGACGAAATGTAGATGTGTCCAAATTTTCATGACTGATTAAACCGAAGATTAAGCATTATCATTATGGCGTCTCTTATTATTTTTATGGTTCTCATTTCCGACCAACCTCGAAGGTTGGAAACTATGGAAACCATTAAAAAAACATACCTTGGCGTCATGGGCCAAGTTTGGCCTGTTGCCATGTATCCAGATGAAGATGAGAAGAACAGGGGATCCCCTTATTAGGCCTACATATTCCAATCGATGAATGTCAGTTATGTTGATGTATCATGTAACTTGGTTGGAAGTCATGCGCTTGAACATACTTTGTTTCGAATACACTACATCAGCCTTAATTCATAGCAAGGCGCGATCTGCGGTTGCGTCGTTCCTGACAGCATTTTGATCGTCTCGTGGAATACTTAAATTCTTCGATCGGTATCTGGGTCTGCCAGAATCTCTCCAATACTGCTCACTTACATCATTCGACGGACAAACATTGAGAGGGAATTCCTGCTACAAATGGGTTTCATCAGTCGCAACATTGCTGTGTGGATATTGTCTGCAGTCATTTACCGTAAGTATGACAAACCATTACGAAACAAGTTATTGATGCATGTTCGTCTTTACTGGTTCATTAATAATTGTGATGGCTTCTGGAAATATAGAATTCGTTTGGCAAACCCTATAGAGGTCACTTATAGGAAGAAACTTTCGATTCGGTCTTCGAAGTCTATCAGAATCTTTGACAGAAGTTTCATCGGACAACATAGTGTAGTGTTAGTGTTTTCTATTTATATATAACGTAAGCACTTTTCGCGTGAAGACCAATCAAGTGACTCAGCAGTGGCACATCATTACGCCACGAAATGAGTTTTTCATCTCAGGATTTTTCTTCGAAAATGTTCCCTTTTTCGAATCAAAAAGCACATACCATTAAAACGAAATTGAATACAAACGTTAAAAAAAATGTAACCCATGAAATGGAATTCTTGCTCTGCATTCCTCTTCAGTTTTGACGAAAACGGTTGATTTTAATGACCGTTTGGATTTTCTTGAACTTATTAATCAACCGAATGATCGAGTATCAAGATCTACAAGGACTCTTTATGACGATTGAATGCTGATGTGAGGGAGCATTCGCACTTTTTTTAAGGTATTATTTTTTTTAGTGGAAATGTGCTGGGTAAACCTTTACGTTCCCTTTTTTTCAGAGCTGTGCTCCGCCCATCCCATAAGCGAAGAAGGTTCACCAATCAGCGAATCCGAGATAGCCAGACTGTTTACGACTGGTACCAGGGTGGTACGTGGACCAGATTGGGGATATGGAAATCAGGTACAAATCCAAATGTTCATCGTTTGTCCATAAACTCGGTGAAAGTTTCTTTTCAAGTTCACGACAGTCAAATGTGGTTTTTCGTTGCCCATGAACTAAAAACTTGTCACGTGAAATAAACGAAAGTTAGAGAAAGCTATATAATAATGACCAACCATGGAGTATATCTTCACGGGTTTTCAGGCTGCCTTTCAAAATCTGGATTAGGCCCATCATTATATATTTTTTCCCGCTACGACGGTACTCCACCGAACGCATTGTTGACCTTGATTACAATGGCTGGGTGGAGTAAAGTGGGATACGGGCAACACGAACAGATGCCGAATTGGTAAAGGGGTAAATACGTTGCCGAAAACGTTGCCTTAAATTATTCTCGGCAACCGGCGTATAGGCCCGGGAGAAATACGCGCCCGTTGCCGAGAATACTCTGGGGAGGATCCAGGATTTTTTGCAGGGGGGAGGGGGGGTGTCAACAGCAAAGCAATGCTGAAATGTAGACAGTTTTTTTTATCCTGTCACTAGGCCTCCGTAAAATCAATAGGTGGAGGGGGGAGGGGGAGAGAGGGACGGGGGGAGGGCTCGTCCAATACTTTCAATGGGGGCGCGGTTCAAATCAGACGATCAGTGACACTATACATGTATTACACAATACGGTACAAATAACCCGTAACCCAGCTAGCCCTGTCCGAATTTTGTGCACAGGCAGATTTCATTTCCAGTAAAAAAATGTTGGGTGTCAGAGCAGGGGGGGGGGGTAACATTATTTTTGATGTATTTCTATAAAACAAAACAATTGAGCTAGATCGAGGGGTTGTACCCCCCCCCCCCCCCCGCTCTGGACCCGCACCTGAATACAACGGGCTCCGTTTGCGCTGCAGTAGGAGAGACAGTCTACTGCCTTGAACACACCCATCTTTGTAAACACCGGCAATCGTGGACCCCCTATTGTCCCTAATCATCATTCCTTAGTTTGTACTCGAATTATTTGCAACAGCTCTCGTTGGTTTTGTACACGTTATCTAACCGAGGAGTCCTCGACTTGGTCCCTGTCCTCAATTCATCGATGATGTTGCACGTGTGTGTCCTCAATTTACACCATAAACAAACGCATCCATGGGTTTGTTTCTGCATTCACTAGGGGACGTTGGACGATAGAGGACAATAGGGTCCCCAATTCATGAAGGTCCCCAATTTGGCGATCGTGTATATGGGAGGTCTTCCTAAAAAGTTAAAGTATAAACAAAAGAGGGACATTAGGGATCCCCGATTGCAGGCAAATACACACTTGTGTAATATGATACATAGTACCCTGTGGAGATTATGCATAATAGGGAACAAAAGATTGTATACGTCTCCATAGGGCAATTTCTATAGGTGAATACGTCTCCACAAGTCTATCACGAAATAGATATATGGATTTCACTAAAACAACTAGGAATTTCCAAGGTGTGTTGATTCGTCGCAAATTAAAGTATTTTATGTAAGGAATATTAAGTCCGAATTACAGCCGAGGAAATCAATTCTGGTAAAAAAAAAACCTTTGGACTACTTCCGTTTCAAACTCTTAAATTTTAGTACACGAGAACATAGAAATGACTCCACTAGGATACAAATTCCAGTAAGCGTGTATGTGAGTTTGTTTCTGCATTCAATAGGGTACAATAGGGTCCCCAATCCCCGAGAGGTCCCCAATTTGGATTCGTGTATAAACCATTTGGGAGGTCTTCCTCAAAAGTTAGTGTACAAACAAAAGAGGGACAATAGGAGGTCCCCGATTGAAGGCAGATATACACTTGAGTTTGTTTCTGCATTCATTAGGGGACGTTGAACAATAGGGTCCCCAATTCCTGAGCAGTCCCCCATGTGGATATGTGTACAAAACATATGGCAGGTCTTCCTGAAGTACAAACAAAAGAGGGACTAGGGGGTCCCCGGTTGCAGGCAAATACACACTTGTGTGCGTGTGAGTTTGTTTCTGCATTCAACAGGGGACGTTGAACATAGAGGACAATAGGGTCCCCAATCCCCGAGAGGTCCCCAATTTGGATTCGTGTACAAAACATATGAGAGGTCTTCCTAAATAGTTAAAAGTACAAACAAAAGAGGGACAATAGGGGGTCCCCGGTTGCAGGCAAATACATACTTGGGTGTGTGTATGAATATATTTAAAAAAAATGGGGGGGGGGTTTAATGGTTGACTTGCTGGTTTGAACTATACATGTTACATGTTATGCTAAGGTTCACAAGTTTCTTTGTGACAGGACGGTAATCCGCCTGGAGAGGGTAGTGTCGACAGTGAATTGAGTAGCGGCTGGATAACCGTACAATGGGACGCGGGGCATAGAGCTGGTTACCGAGTGGGAGCAGGAGGGAAGTACGACCTGAAACTTGTTGAGGATGCACCCATTCGTTTGGTGGACGGGGATGACAAACTCAACGGTCGAGTGGAAATCAATCACGACGGGATCTGGGGAACAGTCTGTGACGTCAACTGGGACATCCAGGATGCCAGGGTCGTCTGTCGTCAGCTCGGCAACTTCTTAGAAGCAGTGGAGATCAAGACGGGATCGTTTTACGGAGAGAGCGAGCGACCGATCGTGATGAACCGTGTGGCGTGTCGAGGGACGGAGAGTCGGTTGGCTGACTGCCCGTTTGTCTGTACCAGCTCTCGTCCCTGTAATACCTCACAAGTGGCCGGGGTGATTTGCCGACCAAAACTCAGTAAGAAAGACCGTTACCACTCCTTACTATTTCTCGTATTTTAATACCCAAAAACAGTTTGTCTTCACAGCAGGATTTCATTTGTCATTAAAATCATAATTAGGCCCCATAGTTCGTCATTCTGATGAGACAGATCTTCATCCGATATCAAGTCTATCTTTTAATACTTCAACATTCTTTTCATCTTATTTCTTTTCCAAATCTAAAACATTCAACAGTATACTGTTGAATGTAAGGAATACTGCAGTATTCCTTATTTGTCAAGTTAAACATGACTTTAAAAAAATGATATAATTCAATCAATCGCTGTTTTGTTAAAAAAAAAAAAAAAATCAAACAAAGTGTTTCAAGTTTTAAAGAAAGTTATATTTGTTTACCAGATACGGTTCGGTTGGTTGGCGATGGTTCGAACGCCGCCAGCGGACGAGTAGAGATCTACCGTGATGCGACTTGGGGGACAGTTTGCGACAATGACTGGGACACGGATGACGTCCAGGTCGTCTGTCGTCAGCTGGGATTCTCCGGGGCTGTGGAAGCCAAGTCCGGGGCTCATTTCGGCCAGGGTGAGGGGCCAATCCACATGGAGAGAGTGACCTGTGATGGGTCTGAGAGTCAACTGGCTGACTGCCCATCTCATTGCTGGGAGACACCGGCATGTAGCCACGCCCAAGATGCTGGCGCCATCTGTCGTCAGGATGAGGATGAATAAGCCACGGAAAGTTACTTATCTAGAAACATGCAGTTATTATGCTTTAGTTTGACGCTATTAATCTGTAGCAGCATGTATTCTCATGCAGGTAGTGCATGTATAAACCGAACTATGAACACTTCATGACAGAGGTGTTGAAAAGATGCACGTATTTAGCTTATTGACTATATTTGAGGATATCTGGCAAGTTTAAGGCTATATATACACATACACAGTGGCGCACCCAAGGTGGGGTCTCGGGGGCTCCCCCCCCCCCAAGAGGTTGTCAATTTTGGGGGGTTTTTGGCAAATTCTTTTTAGCCCCATGATTTGACCTTGGTGATATTGGCCTATTTGCAAGTAGTATACTGGCGCCACAAACGTCAAAATAGTCCCCCCCCCCCCCCCAAAAAAAAAAAAAAAAAAAAAAATCTGCGGCCATAAATTTTGGGCAACATTTTTTGAAAAAAATTAACTGCTCAAAAATGTGGAAAAAAAATCATTGTGCGCACCCTCCAAGCCAAATCCTGGGTGCGCCACTGTACATACATTCACTTTTCTAAACACTTTCTTGCCATCTGTTTGTAAACATGTTTGAATACTACACAACGTTTAAATATTTAACATTTTTAGAATATTGATGGGGGAGTGTTTAGCAATTGCACATTGATGTTTAGGAATTGGACACGTACTGTTTAGCTTCTAAACGTAATTATGTTTACAAAAAGATAGCAAGATTCAGTTAATTTGCTAAACGCAATTTTTAGGAGTGATCTGCATGCTTTCATGAACAAAATAAAGTAACTATTAAAACTTAAAAGATGTCTTACTTTTTCCCAGTTGTTGCCTCCAAGTAAAAACTAAAAGATCTTCTTCTTTTTATTACAAAAAGATATTTTTGTTCCCCGAAGGTTGTTCCCGAAATCCTGTCCCTCCCTATTCGGGTGCCGATAGCTGGTAAAGTTAACTGTCTAAAGAAAATAAATGACTGACTGCGGTTTATACCTTGAAAGATTAAGACTTTGAGAACATGTGCGTTCAGGGTAGCAAAACATGTATCATTCCCGTGTCTTATATGCCGCGTATTCCCTTGAGCAGGTATTTAAAATGCCGAAAGAATCGATCAATGTCAAATTCGTACGTCAGAAATAAAACCATTCGTTTACATTGAGCATTGCAATTATTCTTGCATGTGCGCTCATGTATCCTGGAACGCGGCTACATATTTCATGAATGTTGACTTCGTTTTTTACATTCAAAGATTGCTTGGAATCTCCTATAGCATTAATTTATGGCAAGTTGCACATTCCGGAAGAGCTGCTGATAGTTCTCATCTGCCTTTGCTAGAATTTTTCCAAACGGCTCACTTTAACGATCAGACGAACAGTAAGATGAGAGGGAGAACCCAACAAAATTGGTTTCATCAGTCGCAACATTGTTGTGTGGCTACTGTCTGCAGGGGGCTGTACCGTAAGTATGACAAACTATTTTGTCTACTAATTATTGCGAGTCCAAGGGCGTCAATCACTTCTCAAAAGTGGGGGGGGGGGGGGGGGGGGGGGGGGGGGACATACCTTGATCAAAGCGAAGTCCTAACGGTAGTTCGGGGCCCACTTTATGCCCCCGGAAAATTTAGGATTCTAGACGCTCTGTGGTGCGATATCTGGCAATTTTTTGACCACTTTAACAACTTTTTTGAGCAACAGATCATCATTAAAACATCATGTTCGACTTTGGAGTCATTGAATCAGCTATTCTGAGGTACAGAATCAAATGTAGGCTACCACTTTTATTCGGGGACGAAAAAAGGTGGGGAGTGGACAAACGATACTCGGATATCCCCCCCCCCCCCCCCCCCCCAGTTTAAAAATTAAAGGGGGGGAGACATGTTCCCCTCCCGTCCCCCACCAATATCGACGCCCACGATGGCGACTGAAATTATTGTGCAGCTTCTGGAAAAATCGGATGAATTTTTTTGACAATCTTAGATTGTCTCTCAAAAGTTTAGATCAAAAGCGAAGTATAGGCCTACTTTTGTAAAGCTAATATTTTATTAGGCAGAAGATTTTATTATCATTACCAAATAGAAACACTCCGGTAGAAAAAATCAAGCTACTATCTGTTTCTACGCCATTTTTGACGGGTTTTCAGTTACAACGTACAGCCTACCTTGTTAATAACATACTCTCATTATCCGGCAAGTAGGTCTTAATTAGGAAAACCAAAAATAAACTTGTTCTAAATTGGCTGGATCTACAAAATCTACCGGACAGTGTCATCATAAAAACACAAATAAAGTCTCTCAGAAAAAAAAATCTCGACAGCAGCGGCGTGATTATTAATTATTTTTGCAGATGACCAAAGTAAACCACTGACACAGTCAGAGAGGGCGCCATTCAACATGGCGGAAAAGGCAGACGACGTTTCCGACGCACCGAAGTTGTCTGAAATTTTCGAAGATTCTTGGCGAATTCAGCAAGAGCTTGAAATTTCTGATGAACCAACAAATTCTAAGTCTTATCAGGTGACAATAAATTGTAAACATATTTTATTTGACATAAATTTGCAGAAGATTTACCCGTAATAATGACAGTTGTGTAAATTCGTGTAAATTCGTTTTACAATGTTTTAGGACCTATTTGTACACGAATGGCGCGATCGATAATACTTGCGCTTGCACATTATGCAGTACTAGTAACTCCAGCTCCATACTTAAGCATTGGAGCTGGAGTGGAAAAATGTTGCAACCTGACGCCACTTTTTTTCATATATCATTTCAATGCAACCTGACGCTACCTCAGCGATTATGTAGTCCGAGTAACTTGGACCCAACTTATCGCCTTTTTTAACATTTGGAGTTGGACATGGTCTGGCGATCGCCAGACCATGTCCAAATGTTAAAAAAGGCGATAAGTTGGGTCCAAGTTACTCGGACTAGCGATTATGTACAAAGTTTATGAAGAGTCAAGAACATTTTCTAAATATTTATTAGGGCCTAACAAAATTAGATAGATTTCTCACTCAGTCTGGATTCATGTCTCATCATCATTTTGGGTAGCTTGAGTTACTCCAGCTGACATGCTCCATATTCATTCACATGTTACATGTGAATGACTATGGAGCATGTCAGCTGGAGTAACTCAAGCTACATTTTGGGCACAATTGCAGAATACCCCACCACTCGATCTATGCACCTCGTCGTAGCCGGCTACGGAGTCACGGTTGATTGCCCTCAATAAACCTTCTAAGCGCGACATGTATGTACTATGCGTCATGCTCCACTGCACTCCCACTCCGTATCCGCGTATCCTGCAACAGGGTAGTTGGTTTGGACTTTTTTTCAGCAACTCCCATTACTTTTGTGTTGCTTCGTTCTCAAGCATTATAAGGACTCCCACTTCGTATCCGCGTAGCCGGCAACAGGGTAGTTGGTTTGGACTTTTTTTCAGCAACTCCCATTCATTGTGTTGCTTCGTTCTCAAGGGGACCCCCACTCAGTATCCGCATAGCTGGCAATGGACTTGAGTTGTTTCTTTTCAAGTGATTCCAACCTCGTAGCCAGAGAATTTAGGGGTGTATTTCCGAGTGGCGGGGTAGTCTGCAATGACTCCCATTTTTTGCAATGACTGACCTTCATTGACATGATATATGGAGAAAAAAAGCGGTAAAAAAAACGGTACATCATGTACATCGCACTGTGATCGCCAATTTTCTTGTCGCGTTTTTTTTTAAAGGCAAATAAAATCCGAGAACCATTTGGTTGATACGTGATAGGCCTAGTCTGGTTCCAAGAGCCAAAGATCCTGACGTTGAATACTATAGGTCAGGCGGTTGATATAGATTCGCAATTGTGTTTTGCAATGCCGTAACAATAGCAGTTGAAAATTGCGTTACAGCTGCTGTAACTATAGCCACTGCCTTGTTTGTCTTAATATTGCGAAGACAACTTTATCCATAGACAACAGTTTAAATGTTAACTAACGTTAGTCGTTGTTTCTACTCATGATTAGTTCAACCTGAGTGAAGAGAAAAGAACTGTTTCAGACTGACTGATAACATCATTCATAATGGATTTGTTGTATTTGGCAAGGATGCACTGCACAAGGCCATCAAGATGTCGGAGCAAGCCACAGTCATGGTCAGCCAATTGAACCTGTTCAGCTCTAACGAAGAACTGGAAGAATTGCCAACCACAGATATACGGTGAGTGGGAAAGAATCTTGCATCCATCATCATGCATTATCTCAATGAAGGTCAGCCATTGCAAAAATGTTGAATGAAAAGACATGAATCTGGGACTGACATTTCCAATTTTGTGTCAGAAAATACTTTGATTATGCCTTTGACTCTCCGTAGACTTTGTATACAACGAAAGAAGTTTGCGTCTGGATACTACATTATTTCCGGCGAGTGAATGCTGTCCATCCTCCTGCAGATTAAACTTACATGTATCTCTAAATCAAAACTTGATTAAAAAAAAAAATGATTGCCCTCCAAGCAATTTTGTAAAAAGAAGTTTGCAGTGTCTGCAGATTCATTACAGGTTAAATTTTTGAGTTCAGTTATTAAAGTGAAGAAAAGTTTTTTCCTGTGTCCCCAGATACTTACTTCTGCCAGCGTTACTAGGCAGCCTCACCCTCAAGCTGACAGGGGAAGACAGACTAGCAGTGGTGGAACGCAGCAAGACGTATTTCAAAGACTTCCTCCGACGATGCAGACAGTATGGTGTGACTGAAGAGGTGGGTAACTGTGGGTTACTTGGGGGCTAAGCTCAGACAAGGTTAGCTTAGCAAAAAAAGAATACCAGCGAACATGTCATGCAAAGCATATTGGGTGTGACTGGTAACCGGGTGTTTCTCGCTTAACACATCAACTTGCTAAGCATTATTTTGGGCCCAGTATTTGGCAACGTGTGATCGCTCACAAGAGCTCAAAATGCAAGACACACTGCATGCGTTGTTTTGTGCATGTATGGCACGTGTGGTCTAGCGGTGGAGCACAGGATTCGTGATCGAGAGGTTGTGGGTTCGAACCCCACCGTGGCCATGCGTGTTGTGCCCTTGAGTAAGGCACTTCACCTCAATTACTCCTCTCAACCCAGGTGTTAAATGGGTACCAGCATTGTTCAATGCTGGGAAGGTAACAGACTCGTTGTGGAGAAGGTGTGGCGATCCCCCCACAGCAGCATATGAGTCTGGCCCAATCGCTATGAAAGAGAGATGGGCACTCCGTTCCTGTGAATACAGGTTCGTCCCCTTTACCTTTACCTTTTATACACAAATAACTTTCATTTATATGTGCACATAACAGTACAAACCTAGTCTTGTATGAAGACTGGATAAGGATTGTGTTCCCCTTATTAAGCAGCCTGTCCTAATCCCTGTCAACAGCGGTCAAGAGTGTGCTACCAACAAGATGAATCAATTTCAGTCGTGGGAATTCGGGCAGTGTGACCCAAGAAATTCCAAGCATATACCTCGCGTGAACTGTAGTCAAGCAAATGCACATGCATGTGTGTGTTTACTACAAGGCACTGCTAGTGCTAGGAGTTACGGTCATTAAAATAAAATCAAACCATTCTGACTCCCGGACACAGGAGATTCCAGAGGACCAGGAGGCCAGGTCACAACCCCCGAGCGGTCGGCCTGACCTGAGAGCCATGCAGGCCAACCGAGAGGACAAGATACGCCGCTACAAGCAAGCCAAGGAAATGGAGAGGAAAATGCAGGCATTAGGCACTCCATCTCAGATGAAAGACAAACCTGAAGATGTACAGGTAAAGTCTGGAAGCAGTTCGTCCAGCCATTCGCAGCGGTCTCCCTGGCCAGTTAGTTCTCACTTTGTCGGGCTGTGTCGACTCATTTTAGGATCAGCATGACCGGTTTTTCATACTAGTCAGTGTGACAATAAAGTGGGTTAGAATTTGAAGGGAACTGTTGCCCGATGGCTGGGTGTTTTTACCAACACAAAAATGGCAGAATCATTGGGAAGTCTGGTTGAAGTACCTCTGTTTGATTTGTACCCTTTGGCAAAGTCACTTTGACATGTATATGTACTTGTATCCCATCCAACAGTATTTGATCCACAAAGGAGGTGTTGATTATTGTGTGGGTAAGAGTGCAGGACTCGTAGATTTGCCATGGTCCAGTGGTTACGGTGTTTGACTCTTGTATGATGGTGCGTGGGTTTTGAACCCTGCCAGGATCATGGTGTTTGTGCCCTTGGGCAAGACACTTTACCACAATTGCCTCTCTCCACCCAGGAGTGGTCCAGTGGTTACGGTGTTTGACTCGTGTATGATGATATGTGGGTTCGAACTGTACCAGGGACATGGTGTTTGTGCCCTTGGGCAAGACACTTTACCACAATTGCCTCTCTCCACCCAGGAGTATAAATGGGTACCTGTGAGGGTCGAGGACCGATTGAGCGCTGATATCGGCTGCCGCATAGTCCCATGGCCTGATGAACGTGGGAATAAAATTGTAAAGCGCTTTGAGATTGTTGATACGATGGAAAGTGCTATGCATTACAATTTATTAATTTTATTTATAAAACCTTGGTTATAAAGCAAGTTAGGCACTGCTACTACACTTTACTCTCGGCCCCCTCCACCCCCCGCAACACCCCATCCCTAACCCCCACACGAACCCTCATCCACCAGCACCCCCTGTTCATGTTGAGTATTAAGCAAGGAGAAGTTTTAAAGTGCCACATTTTGACATCTTGCTCAGAGAGAATTCTACATCCTGAGCTTGAAGAAGTGGGTCAGCACGGCCCTGGAGGAGTTGGCTGGTGTCCAGCAGGAGATGGAGATACTACAGCATATGGCTAAGATGAAGTCAAGACAAAAAGAGCAGGGCGCCAACGCAGAACCCAAACCGCCAAAAGAGAAACCGAGACAGGTACAGGACAAACAGACCATTCCCAAAAAATTACAAATGGCCGCAATTTTGAAACAAAATTAACTATGTGCATAATCAGGGTTGCAGTCAACAACAAACCAATAGTTTCAGCTCAATGTCAATTGTGCTGTGTTTTTAAATTGTGTTTTGGATTGTTTACTTATCCTAATTCAAACATCCGTTTGAAAGGAAACCAACCTAATGTCTTAATTACCGTTCCCGAGAAAAGAAGAAAAAACCCTGTGTGTTTACATCGGACCCAACGGAGTACGAATACGCTTTTCCTGTCGTTTCCAGTCAATGTACGACATACACGTTGTGTGTGTCAATACAGCACCGTGCTCGCGAACAGCAACCACCAATGCACAAAATGTGGTTTCTTACAGGCGAACACTTTACGGATGAAATCACAACTAGCACCCAAACAGCTCATCATTATTGGGGTCGCAAAAGTGGACCCCGAAAGTCGTACAGGAATAACACAAAAACGCCCAGTTTTTAAAGGATAGTTGTGTGGATGTTTATATCCTACTTTTAAATGTTCTTTCCGATGAACATCATTTTTGTTCAAAGCGCTTTTGTAGCCCAATTTGGCTGTTCCAGGACACAGTGTCCCTTTAACCCTTTAGTCACTGTAGTGCCTGAAATCGCCCAGCCTATTACTCACTGTGGCACCCGAAACTGCACAAGCACTCTGTGGTTTTATTGATTCTTTGGTGAATAAACACAATGTAACACAATGTAATACAATGTAGTACAATGTAGTACAAGTGCTATATGGGTTAAGGCAACCGATCCTGAAGTCACAGAGATTGAGTTCTTTGACTTTTCACAGGAACCCACTTTTAAGTGTTGGGTACACACAACCGATGTTTATCTGAATTCACCAGGACAAACCTGTAGCATTTTCACATCGGCACCTTACGCGTGCCGTAATGGTGTTCAAAGCGTCGTGCGTGACTTTCTCTTTGTCAAAATGGATCTTTCCTGCATTGGTTAATTAGATCAATGGATGTGGTCAGTCGACCAGCTGGTCACAATCATAAATCAAATGTGGTCAGGGCTTATGGCCAAATTGGGAACCGTCCATTGAAGGGGGGAGGGGGGGCACTTGTGTACTAAATATCACACCACATACCACATTAATATAATTATCTTTTAGTTCATACATGATATGTGCACATTATTGCAGATGACATGAATTTTAATCATTTTTAAAGCGCTTAGAAACACTGCGTATGAAGTGCTATATAAATGTTAACTATTATTATTATTTTCTATGACAGTACATGAATGTGATGTACTGCATGACATATTTGAAGTAAACGCACCTTTAATCTACTTATCCCTGAACAGCCGATGAAGCCCTTTATTCTGACGAGGGATGCAATACAGGCCCAGGTGTTTGGTGCTGGCTACCCTAGCGTACCAACAATGACCTTAGAGGAATTCTACCAAAAGGAAATAGCCGAGGGAAAGATACTCCCTAACTCACAGTAAGTCATCAAATGCATCTAGAAATCAAAATGTATCAGTAAACTACAAAACTGTAAATGACTAGGTTAGCTTGATTTGATGATTTGTAAGAAAAAGCTGTATCCTTCCCGAGTGGTCTCAAGTTACCTTTGCCTGAGTTTGCTGTCTTGGTCATGTTCTAGAATCATGACTGTGGGATATTCCATAACCATAGAGCATTGTAGGTGTTGTGGCTTGGTACAACTTTACAGGACCTTAAAAATTGGGAGAGTACCAACATAGAGCTTGATAGGTCTGTTGATAGAGCCAGAGTATGGTGTTTAAATTTCCTCCATTCTTGCTCCGGTTTATGTTTAGTAAGTTCTTTGAAAATTTCTTTGGTCATTCTATTACTAGCAATTAAATTACCAAAATACACTACAACATTTTAGACTAATAATAATAATAATACCGGATTCTTATATAGCGCACGTATTTACCAACAATTAGGTACTCAAGGCGCTGTAAATTATGTATATTATTAAAGACAGGTAAATGAAGTACATGAGAAATATGAGACCCATTATGTAGTACCTTAAAAGGGTTGACAAGGTGCTGCAACGCATATTGCAGCCACTGCCAGAAACACCGGGGCAAACCCCTTCTCTAAGCGATAAGTGTTACTGGGTTCTTTAACGTGCATTACACAACACACGGGACCTACGGCTTTACGTCCCATCCGAAGGACTAAGCAATAATAGTAAAGTGCCTTGCTCAAGAGCACAAGCACCATGTTCCCATGGTCAGGATTCGAACCCATGTACCACGGCACACGAGTCGAACACCGTAACCATTGGACCACAGCACCCCACTAGATTCAATCTACCAATCTCTCCCACCCCATTCTACTCCGTCTTAACCCTTCATTAATTTATCAGATGTTTTAAAATCTGACATCTCTCCTCTAGTAAAAAAAATATTATTAATTTAAATACTAGAAAGTACTAGCTTAAAAAAAAAAGTCACACCACTTTCCTATTGTAACTGTCAATCTATTACACAGGAACCCAACTCCAGCCAGCCAGAGGGAGGAGGCAGAACGGAGAGAACGAGAGAAGGAGGAAGCTGTTGACAGAGACGACCCAGAGGCTCTCAGGAAAGCCAGGGAATTGGACGAGTTTAAAGACAGTAAGTTAAGTCGGCACGGAAGTCCTAAACAAAGGAGGAGCTTCAAATCAGGGAGAACAACAGTGTCTCTAAACACGCAGCTTTATACTAAACACATCTCTTCCTTTTCTGTCACCTCCTTGGGGGAGTGTGGCCTAGTGGTTAGGGTTTGTGACTCATGGTCAGAGGGTCAGGGGTTCGAATCCAGCTACTGGCCATATCATGTTGTGTCCTTGGGCAAGCCACTTCACCCCCACTTGCCTCTCTCCACCCAGGAGTATAAATGGGTACCAGCATTAGCTGGGGAGTAACTGCGATGGACTAGCATCCCGTCCAGGGGGAATAGAAATATTCTCAGTCGTTTCATGCTACTGAAATCGGAGATAAATGCCGGCCTGATGGGTCACATTGGCTCGTGACAGACTTTACTTACTTTCAATTCTTCAACAAATTTTGTTTGAATTCAGCAAGGCATCTTATATTTGTTTTTGTTTCCAGCTCATAAACGTGGCTGCGGAAATCGAGAGAACATGGGTTGAAGTGCGTCAGCTGTGCAGATTGGTCGACCGTCAGCATTGGTTTCTATCATTTACGCAAGTCCAGCCAAAGCTAGTTGCCCAAAGGACTTCAGAGGCAATCAGCATCTCTCAATTGCCATTATTTCGGATGGGCATCCCTTCAAAGGCTGGCTATTTGTTAAAAATGTGTCCGTGGACAAGTGCTGTTTCAACGGGAAGTATCAGATGAAACTTGCACTGAACATTTGAGGCATCGAGGCTTCAGTCCTTTTGTGGCGCTGTAGTGTCACAAGGAACTAAAATCTGTGGTTTTTTTTCATCCGAGTTGTACACTTCGGTGCTTGAAAACGGCTGTTGACGAGTCCAATGATCAGGACAGCAGGAATGATAAAATTGCCATATCATGTTAGTCTTCTTGCAATTCTTTATGCAAAACATTGCTATCATTGTGCATAAGTGTTTTATTTAAGTCGGCTGGTATGTTTTGCAAATTTCTTCAAGCAGTCTCAATCATGTTTAATAAATTTTAAAAAATACCATGTTATTACCTTTCTTTTGAAAGCCAATTCTTCCTGGCGATTTTTGTGATTGTTTTCATTGAACCCTGTCAAAAGGTAGTGGAATGGCTGAAAATGATCGTCATTGCTAATTGGTGTGTTCGAAAGACTCCATAACCAATATCACTTGAAAATATTATAGTAGGATAATGAAAGGCGATTTAACCCATTTGTTGGGTTCAATACAACATCTCTTTCTGGGCGTCACACAGGATTTAAACTATGGTAGACAGTACCCTGCTGTTGCTTCATGTTTGAAGCAATAGTGGATATAGTTTGACCTTCGTAAATTATGTGATTGAAAGAAGAAAACACAGGCTGCAGACAAAACTACATTTGTCATGTCACATTTTATTCACTTTTGTTTTAATATCTGTCTGACATTTTCACGGCTCCTCACATGGGAAAAAAATGTACATGTGTAATTTATTCATTGCATACGGTATAACCTATTACATGTACTACTTAATAAATAAATGGGATAAAGTGCAACCCAAACAAAAATTAGCTTGTCTCAAATTGTTCTTGTCTGATTCTTAACAAAATTCTGCTTTCTGGCAATTTTATTCCTTAATTCAAAATCGGTTTGTTCTGTACAAGTGCATGTAAAACAGTGTACCTAGTTCCTAATACAGTGCATCATGATAATGGGGTAAAGTGGCTTCCATTGTGATTTTTGTCTTCCGAAGGACAGATAACCTTCTATGGTACAGATATCTGTCCATAAATTCCCTCCTTTTTCATCGTCACAGACAATTTCACAGGTCAGGGAGCTGTTTAAACTCTAAAAAAAAAATGAACATATTTCAGTGTCTTTAAAAAAAAAAATTATTCGAGATCAATAATGTGATTTCAATGTATCATTATTTCTGTGTGTTTTGTCAACTTTAATTCAGTGCATGGTCTTGAGCCTTGTGTAAAAAAAAAAGGAAGGAACAAATCGATACGAAGTTGCACTAGCCAAGCTACACAGGCCACGACATCTCATTAACCAATTTTGGCATCAGAACTTTTTCCAGGCTCGGCATGATCCGTGACTTTCACTTGGGAGGATGAAACCTGACGTGTATGTATTTAAAGCCAGAGTCCATCATTTGCAGCTATCCAAAAAGTAACTGGCGTAATTATTGGTGAAAAACTTACTTGGTTGAAAGATAGTAAGGGAACTAAACTCCCTGTGAAATTATTCTTTCTGGCATGCTGTCATTCTGAAGAAATCAACAAAAGAAGGCCTTTAAAGAAGGCCTTTCCAACGGTGCTTCTTAAGTAGGAAATTCAAATTAGAAGTTCCCTTTTTTTTATTTGGCGAAGCGCGCGCAAGCATTGGCATGACGCACACGCGGTTGCTATAATTCGTCGGATCATTGCGTAGCTGCAATCGGCTCAGTGAGAACGTGTCTCGGACGCTGAATTCAGGCCGAATTCAAAACACGATTCAGCAACTTTTGATTTGAAATCGAGATCCTAGAATGTTGTTTTTCCTCAAAATATACAGCTGAAGCTGAGCTGAAACTTCATCAGGTTAGTTGTTCAGCACCCTTCTTTAGATATTGAGCACTTTTGTTGCTTCAAACGAACAAAATGCACAAATTACAAATGATGGACTATACCTTTAAAGCTGGTATCTCTTAGCTGAAAAGTCTTGGCATGACCATTTGAGACTTTTGAAAAAAACAATGTCATATAAAGGTTTTTCTTCTGCACTTGTTTTTTTAAAAAAAAAAAAGGGTTTCACAAGGATTTGTGAAGTAAATTTGAGGCATAATTATTAAGTGTGCAAGGTCACCACTGGTTTTACATTCGACACGCTGAAATTTTTTTTTTTTAAAAATCCACACCACCACGTAGACGTACTGTATTTTTTTTTAAACGCGACCGATCGCTCACTTGAAATTCTTTAAAGTGCCCAATCCAAACACACACTTGTATTTTGCTCGTTGAATTTCATGAAAAAAAAACCCAATTGAAATGAATATCAAGACAAGATTTTAAATGATATTTTTTTTGTAAATTGTACACTGTGAATTGTATGATTACATGTATACAGTTGCATTGCCCATGTGGATAATCCACTTTGTCCAACAACAAAAAAGATTTCAAAAAAATAAATACTTTTGTAATTACTACTGCAAACAGTGGTTAACAATGTTAAAAAATACCTTTCGGTCGATTTAAGTCTGGCAGTGGACTCAAAATCTACTGATCTGTACAAAAATCACTGCCGTTTAGTTTGGTCTACAGACCATTGCACGAGATGGCTTTTACACTACAGCACCATCTTCAATTGGAGTCATGTGATTCCAGTCACATGACACAGTCACATGAGACACTACACAATCATGTGATCACAGTCACATCAGAAGAAAAAAAAAATCATGTAACAGTCACATTACTTTAATACTTGATAATTATCATGCGACATTTGTATTTGTACAGTTTATCACGTTATCATTAGTTCGAAGTATATATACCACATAGATAGCATTCTCTGTACAGTCAATATTATAATACATTTTTGTTTCATATATAACATATTTACTTTCACATTTTAAATTTAGAGCTCATAGCTCCAAGTACCTTAATGTTGTCGAATCGCTTTTAAGCATTGTTCTCGCAATCTTCTGAAACCATCTTTGCCATTTTTATTATTTTTTTTAACAAATAATACTTTTTTTAGTCAGAGATATCTAAAACAGAAACACGATTTGGGCAAAACTCAGACAAGTTCCCAATTCACACAGTTTTATGACGATAAAAAAAACATTTGGAAAAAACTTGAACATGTTTCCAATTCACAATGTTTTATGACGGTAATATGAATGGTATTTTACTGAAGCGAAAGGTAGGACATGGTTTGGTTACAGTCATGAAGGGAATTGGACTATCATCAAAGAAATGGGGATTGACTGAAAAGGGTTTGGTTGGGGAAAATTACATGTATGCTATTAATCACTTCAAGTTAGAGCTGAAATACATTATTATTCATTTTTTCCAATTTGTGGGATCCCGTGATAAAAAAAATTCACTTGCTTTTCGGCCAGAAAAATATCAACATTTAATCAATTTCTGAAGAAGGAAAACCTACAAAATATGCTAAAAATGTTAATTTAGATCAACTAAATTCTGAAGTGCTGTCAAATGACCCGTTTTCTATCCTAGAAAACCTGATTTTTTTTGTTGTTGTAACTGTGAGTACTTTCTTAATACATTTACAAAACTTGTGTGATCGAGATGAGGTTAGAGGCATAATATGGTGAAACGAGTTCAGATCTTTTTATTCGATGCATAAGTATTTCCGTCGCGTTTCCTCAACTTTGACACCGAGAGTATAATGGCATTATTTAAGATACGACTCCACAGAATAAATAAAATCGTGAGAAACAAGATAAATAAAAACAAATACAAAAACAAAGTTTGACACAATTTTGTAGCATTGCTCTATAAACTCGACGATGTATTTTATTGGCAATTGACCGTGGTTTTTACGTCAGGAAGAAAATGTCCCGCCAAGAAACCTTTTCGAAAGTTAACAGACAAACAAAGACAGATGAGTTGTAGATTTAAGAACGAAAATGCTGACCAATTAGACAAGATGGTGGGTTTAAAAGATCTCGACTTCTATCACTTGTCAGAGGTTGTGAATGAAGCATAGCAAATTTTCATGTTGCGAATTTGCAAAGGTTGATATTTCGAATACGCAAACTTTTGCTGCGTATTTTGCGTGACGTAAAATTTGGTAGCAATTGCACACACGAGTACGACAGGCGAGGGCGCTAAAGGGCGTCACAGTCCCACTTCGTGAGTAGACTCGTACGTATGCGACTGTTCGCATGGAGTGCACCCAAAACATTAGCAAGCACAACATGAAACACCTTCCAGTTTTCCAAAGTGCCCCTTGTTTGCATATTCACCACAAATGGGCATTAATGGCATACAGCCCGCAACTTGGTGACCTTTGTTCTACAAGTTAGATTTCCAGCCCCCAAAAAATAACAACGGGGTCGAGGATATCTGTTCTTCAGAAGTGCCAACTGCGTGAGAAACGTTCACTCGTGGTGGCAAAATACCGAAAGGAAATCACCCTGAGCTTTGAAAAGCAATTCATGATAAACACACACACACATAAACACATGCAGACGTCTTCGTCGATATCAGATGACGCTGGACGCTAACTTGTTGGGAGTGCCTCTCCCGTGTGACCTCCGCAGGGCGCTGTTGTTGATGTTCATGTCCCCGCCCCCGTCGTCCGGGCAACCGTTGGCAAGCATGACTTTAATGCATTCGTCGGCTCCGACGCTGCGGGCGTACGCGAGGGCCGTCCTGCCGTCGGCATCCACGGCTTTGACGTCCGCGTTGTACTGGGACAGAATAAACGGAAAGACTTGAAAATTACAACACACTTCTCTTGGTGAGTAAAGGTGGGAAATTTTTATTTTCATCTAAATTTGCTTACGCAAATCAAAAACAGTGGTGCGGACTTTTTCTCTCCCAAAAATGAAAAGTAACTGTAGCCTACTTTTCTCACATCATGTTTCAGTTAGGCGTTTCGAAACTGTTTCGCAGATTTTAATTAAGTACGTGAAAAGTTCAACAATTGAAACAGCTGAGAGCGACAGTGTTGAAACATACAGTTGCAGTTGTTCTGAAAGTTCAGTCAAAGCAAAATCAGCAAAATGAGTTGACTAGAGTCACAGCACGACACTGCAACCGGCGTCATACTCCTCTGACTCACCCAGACTAGTAGCTGAGCGATGACCACGTTGCCCATGGCACAGCTGAGGTGTAGCGCTGACCGGCCGTCACCTTCCCCGTAATGATAATTGACGTCATCTTGGCTGGCATGGATGAGTACCAGTATGACCGACCGTACGTCCTCCTTGATCACCGCTTCCATCAGTTGCTGTAAATCACAGACATATTTAAAACAAATTCTAAATAATCGGCGATCAGCCCCTTATCGGTTGTAAACCAGATATCTAAAACTGCCCTCCAGCACTATTATTCCCATTCATAAATACCTTTTTGGAATTTTTTTTTTTAAACTGGCAAGATGTTTTGTCAATGTTCAGGCCACTTCCATGATGCGTGTCACATGTGTGGTTGTGCTAAATGTCTCATTCTCCTTATATGGAGATCATATCAAATTGTTCTCAAGCACCCGGTCGTCTCGGGAACAATTTCAAACATCGTTGATTTTAAACGGCGGTTTAAGACCACCCGCGTGACAGGCTCTCGACCAATAGGAATGGGTAAACTGTCTCAAGTATTTATGAATTTTGCCCGGCACTGACTTAATTTTCTAAGCACTGTTTGCTGAGTTCTTTCCTAGAGCCTAAAACAAAAACAAAATTACAACCTTGCTCGGGTGGGACTTGAACCCACGGCCTCCTGCTTACTAGTGCAGACGTCTTACCATTCACACCATTTGGTTTTACCCTTTGCCAAAGTTACTTATATCACTATGTATGATTTTTAAGCACAATCAACTCACCACTCCAAGCGGTCTGTCAGTAAACGGCGGCGGAGCTGCAAATTCTTTCTTCTCGTACTTGGCCCGTATCCATTTCTCCTTCTCCTCCCGGCAGGCGGTCGCGGCCGGCCTGGTCCGGTTCCTTAGCGATCCTTCCCACACACTGTTGGCGGTTGCGTTGCCGATGGACAGCATGACTGCGGTCAGCTCGGGTCTGCAAGCCAAATGAGACATGAAACATGAACGAGGGTGAAATTGCAAAGGCGTTCTTCAACGGAGTTTTAAAAATGATACCAGCTTTTCAAAGAGAAGAATGTGAAAGCAAAATAAAAGATGCTCGATTCTTTTAGCATGACATTTGTCTGGTACTTACGGCCACTCGTCCAGTTGTAAAGACCTCACTCTGGATACGTGGGAACCTAGATTTCTGTGGATTCCGGAACACTCGATGCAGATTATCGCTCCGAGGTTTAAACTGGACCAATCAGGGTCTGAAAGTGTAAATGTGTGTGAGAAAGTTATCCAATGAGCTAGTTCCTTATTCCAACTCATCAAAATGTGACACGTGTCATTGGTAACACTACTGGTCTAAGGAGCCCAAAGTGTGTGCATACCACCTGAGCACGAGCCTGGTTGCACGTAAAAAATGGCTTCTAATTTTGTCCACTGAATTAGTCTATCCGCTCTGTTCACGAGTACCCCCTCACCGGCAAAGAAAGTACAGTTGGGGGTGACCGACCGACGCCATCTTGCCTGACTGCAATTTTGCCGTGACACGCGACTGTACCACTGCGTGTATATAGTACAAATCCCCTGGTGTACGTGCATCACACACAAGCAACGGTGCGCGTCAACCAGCTAAATGTCCCGCCCATGGGACATTGTTGCTAGGTAAAAGGGCGCCCTCTTTCGTTGGCGCACGGATCCCATACAGGTATTATTTGGATGAAAAAGGTTGAATGCTCTAACCGATTTCTGCCTTTGGTTAAGATTCTATTAAAAGGCCAATTGCTCACAAGTAGCTCTGGCGAATTGCGACTCATTTTGTTGGGCTGGGTTGCATATTTCCATCTTCACTCCATTTCTTCCTGAAACATCGCATGAAACATAATCACTCCCCTCACCTCACTGACTCTTGCCCCCTCCTAACCCCCGCCAACTCTGTCCGTTGTCGTCAATACTTACTCGGTACTCCACAGTCCACACACTGGTTGTTTCCCCGGACTTTCCGGATGGCTTCCACCGCGGCCGACCGTTCCACGTTGGTCATCAGCCCCTTGGCACTCACGTTGGCTTGCAGACAGGCAAGAATTTGTTGCTCGATCGCGGTCACCCATACGTCACGTTCCTGAAAATGGAGAAGGAAATTCACAATTTTTGTTTGGTTCATTAAAATCAGAAGAGGCTCGTTTTTCAGCGTCTTAAATGTGTACCTTTTTTGAGCTACAGAGGGTCAAATTTGAGTCGGTTCTTCTTTTTTTTTCAAGGGGGGGGGGGGGTGTTCTCCAGCCAATTTCTTTGACTTGCTGAGCTCAGATCTTTGCTAAGTACCATTTTCTGTCTTATTGAGCAGCTCTACGGACCAGGTCCAAGTGAAAGTGAATTCAGATATCAGTCTGTTTTTGGCCCGTTTTGACTCACCTCAGCTGACGAGACTTCAAAATGCCATTGCCTGTTGTCCAGTGAGACAATCACAAACTCATACTCATCGGTATCTGAAGGAAAAAAAAAAAGTAAATAAATAAACAAATTCTAAAGCAAGAAGAATGCAAAGTCATTTCTTCATCAAGTCAAAATTTGTCCAAAGCTTTCCATAGATAAAACTGCTCCAACGTTATATCAAAAATCGATAAATAGTAAACTAGTATGTATAAAATACCCTCTTTTTTTTCAGGAACACTTTGATCTTAATTATTTAGTACTGTGTAAAAATGGATACCAGTTGGCCAAATACTAAACAATTTCTAGTCTGAAGAGTTGATTTGAAGCCTAATCCAGTCAGAGTTCACATCAGCCCAAAAGTGACTCAACGCAAACTTACATGTAATTTGTTTAAAAAGAATTTTATACAAAATTGTCATTTAAGTACAGGGTACCCGATTGGACAGTTTCAAATGTCTCCAGCCACTAACCTTCCTGCTGATTGGACGTGTCTAGATTCTTGCCTCCTCCAGAGCTTCTCATTCGTCGATGCTTCTTCTTTGATGACTCCTTGCCGCCTACCAGGTTACCCATTTGAGGGAAGGCCATAGGCGCATCCATGCCGTTGGAAATACCTGCAAAAAGTGAGAAAAACCAACTCAAAAAAATTATCAAAGATTTCATGTAACCCCTCACATCCAAGGCATTTTTTTTCTTGGAACTGTCCTGATTCAACAAAATCTATTAAGCTTTTTTTTGTAAAGTATCAGGGTCTGGGCTTTTAAACCTTTTTCAGTCCAGCAAAAATCCTCCAAGAACTCAGTTAGATTTTGCAAGATCTGTGGGCGTTTGGGTAAAGCATACGCATACAGCTCCTTTTGTTGCCAAAATACACAGCAGAGAAAAAATGTCAAAAAGTATAAAAACCTATTCGCATGTGATGCGTTAACTGCCTCGGAGCCGTTCTTAATTAAAATGATAACAATACAGTTATGTTCATTTTTCTGCTTCGCAGTTCTAATGACATGACATTTGACCATTATTTCAGGATTTTTTTTTCTTCTTTATATTTTTTTTAATTTTAATTTTTTGGGGGATGCAATTTTCATAGTTGTCCAATCTTGATGCACGTCAATCCACACAATGCAGTTAATCAAATGTTAGTATATAACATATTAATCACTGTAGACATTTACATGTACCATATAAATAGCATGACAAACAAAAAGGGGTAATTATTGAACTTGAGTTCCTGAAACTCAAATTCATGTTGGATAATTTATCAAATGCATCATCACAATCGTTCTATTCGTCTAAAAATTTAGCAAATTTGATTATTTTTCCCCCGATTGTAACATAAGGACAAATTACGTCAATAGAAAAACCAAATTGTGTCGTATTTTAGGCGTGGATTTATTTACATAATCTAATTTAATGTCAAAATCTAATTTGATATCCAGTAATAAAATGTTATTTTCTGCTTGAGCTGCCCTTGAATTTATCCATTTAATTAATGCATTGATTCCCGTTTACAACTAGTGCCATATGCTGGGCCCGTTAATTTCCATAACAGCTGTTGAAAATAACATCATCGGTCAGCTGTTGAACGTGCTGAAAAAATTGTTCAATGTACATGTACATGTGCTATGAATCTGTATGGCAATTAAAATTCGATTTAACTGCGGAAATCCAGAAATGGTTTCAAATTGTCCAACGCATGCCCGAGTGCTCACACAAACTTCAAATCAATTTTGTCGTCCAACAATCAGTTGTTTTTTCTCAAAGAAGAGAAAACGAAAATCAAAAACCTTTCAAACCGAACACCGCATGCTGTGTCACTCCAGGCAAGATGCAAACGTACGGCAGGAAAGCAGTGCAAAAAAAGTGTGGGAGTATGTCTTACCGAAAAATGGGAAAACATGTCGAGAGGATACCCAAAACCACATGCGAGAACAAGAACGGAACAAAATCATTTACTTCAATGTGAACATTTTCAAATTCAATCTCATGAACAAAACTAGTTCATCGACAGGTTTCATCCACTGCTCGACTTGAGGAGGAAAAACACTGGTTACATGCATTTACAATCATTCGATCTGCACAACATAATATTTCTTTCATTACAAGAACAGCACAAATATCTTCTCAGCTTCCGGGAATTTCACACAGATTCCACTGAAAAGCTCTCTGGTTTGTGAAGTCTCTAAATATCAAAGCCCACTTGAACTCACCCATGTTTGTTTTACATACCTAGTGTGGAAACTCCTTTGTTTTCGTGTAGTTAAGAAAAACCAGTGGGAAAAAAGTCATTATTCTCAAACTGTGAAAACTCTTTCAACCCAATTTTTTTCTATGATTCCCTTTAGTGTTTCTCTTCATTTTGCTGCAGATAAACCTAACCCAAAAATGCCTCTAAACCTGTTTTCCAGAGAGGGGGAAACCTTGTGTGGACGTGGGCAAGTCCACACAACGTCGCTGCTACCTGGTTAATGTGGACATCTTTTGTTCGGAAGTCCACTCAGTGAATGTAATGCTTGTTCAGGTTTGCCATTGTGTACACAACTTCTGCCATCAGGTTGGGTGGCTTAAAGTTACCACACAATCACTAGTTCCAATCTCTTAGTAAGGCCGTAATTTTTTTTTCCCAAGTCCTGAGAAACAATTTGGCAGAGTTTTAGCCCTGCTTTGCAAGCCCCGTTTCCCATTGCAAATTTTGACAAAAGGGCATGTTTAATAAAAAAAAAATAACATGAAATCCTGGTTAAATTCAATAATGCTATTAGGTTTATGTTATGTGCCACATTTTTTTTTTTCAAGCAAAATGAACAGGAATTTTGGGACAGCATTTCTACTTTTAAAAAATATTTTGTTGTTTTGTTTTGTTTTTGTCAGTATTCAGATGTCTGAAATGAATTGTTTCGAAACATTTTCAAAGCTTAAACACTGCAGCACTGAGGATAAACAATGCACGCATCCACAAAGTCGGGGAATTTATGCATTGTTCCCGAGACACAGAAATAATATAATTTAACAAAAAAAGAAAGACATCGTCAAAAATAAAAGGGAAGGAAGGAAAGGTTTAGAACAGAATAAAACTTGTTAGGTGAAGCATAAAATTTGCTGTTATTTTTTTTGGGGGGGAAGGAAATGGACACAGAACATACTGATGTGGCTTGAGTATCCTCTCCACATAAAATAACAACAGTTGGAAAGTGCATTTTTGTGGCCAAGCTAAAACAAACGACCTTCCAAGGTCTCTCAACTGCACTTTTCATGTCAAATACATTAGCATTGTCAAATTGGAAACAGAATTAAGTTTACATATTAAGTAAGGACTAACATCAAAAGTTTATCACGAAAAGGAAGAATTTTGTTTCTGGGGAATTAAAATCAAGCTACCAAATCCTTTGCATTTGGGCAATTTCAGCGTTATGTACTAGTAAATGACCGTAACGAGCTTGTTAGATCTCAGTGAATAAACCTGAAAATGTCTTTTTCAAATCTGATACATGTATCTATCGTCTAGTAATGGTCAAGGAATTACAGACTAGGAGTTTTGGATCATTTCTCTGAATCACTGATTAGTTGTTGTGGTTCATTGTCTCTGTCATGGACATTACACTTCCTTTCGTAACGACAAAATCGCCCATTATCGGAATTTTGAAAAACAGAGATACTTTGAAGAAACACCCTGCTCTGGTCAAGTTCTTTTGTTTAACCTCGTTAAAATTCAAGAGAGAATAACTACGAGCTGTAAATGTCAACTTTGTGGAAGAGATTTTGTGGATAAAGGGTCTGGCTGGACTGACCTGGAGTAACGGAGGAGTTAGATATGACCACGGAGTCCAGCATGGCGTCCCGCGGCAGGGAAGTGGACTTAGCGTTGATCTCCTGGCGCTCCTTGAACGAGTGGAAGTTGACGCCGCCGTCTTTTGCAAACGCTGCCTGATTGGCATGCGTGCTTCCCCCTGAGAAAAAGAAAGGTACAAATTGTAAAAAAAATTGAGAAAAATCTTGCACGTTTTTAAGATTTCATGACGTCCTCTGTGTGCTTTTTTGTAGTTTAAGCAACCAAGTTCCATGCAAAACTGGTTGTTAACTTGAAATAAAAAGTAGCGTTTTGTTATATTTTCTTTGCTTTTTGTTGCTAAGAATGCTTGAAGTATAGAAAACTGAATGGTGAGTAAATCTTGGGGGATACAGCCACAATCCATTAATGCTCAATGCACCCTGACATTTCTGCTTTCCATCCCTCAAACTGCCCAAAACCACCCTGGATTTTCAACCAAATGTAACTGTTTTCTTAACAGTGCACTAGTTTTTTTTACAGAATTAGAGAGTGGGCAATATAGACTCTCCCCCATTCTCAAAACATTGTTATCATTCAGCACTCCATGTTTGAATATCTCCACAATCTGAAAGTTCTGAAAATGTTGACAAGAGTGTTCAAAGATGTTCTTAATCAAACTGTTTTCGTCAAACTGGATCAATTTGATCAAAATCATGTCTGACCTGTTATCGTCATTGCGCGCATGTTGTTGGCGATTCCGTTACTCCCGGGGGCGCTCTTGCTGGGCGACCCGCCGGGGTTGCTGCGCACAATCTGCGGCTTCCTGCCCGGTACTTTGACGGTGGTGTTCATTAGCACGATCTCCTTGCCGTGTGTGTTGTTCATGTAGTCCTGTGGGGTTGAAAAGTTAAAGAGCAAAAGCATGTGAGAACGCTGTACATGTCATTTGAATTCCAACTCTTGGTAGGCTGTTTCTGAATTGAATGGCTATGGCTAGTGGAAGCAGCTGCGGCTACTTCCCATAGAACCGTGTGTTATTCCAAGCCATAGCCAAGTCATTCAGGCGCAGCCTTAAAAGAGCTGGGCCAGGTAAAAATCTCGCAAGGTATTGTGCAATTACATCTTGCCTTTGTGAAATTGTTGCTGAGGCTCAAAAGTATGCTGAAAAATATACACAAAAATTATTGTGACAGAGGAATTTTGTAAACCAAATTATCTATAAGGGTTAAGCAGAGAATCAAATGTTTACTGCTTTACGTGAAATCAGATTTTACGGTGAATCTGTACAATAAACTTACGTGCAGACTTGGGTGATACGTTAGCTTCCCGTCGTCGCATAGCGTCACGTATTTCTTCTTCCACTCTTTGTTCAGGGATTTGCTACTTCTCTTGTACAGAAGGCCCTGAGGTAAGAACAATAACAAAGAATTCAATAGCGACAAACTACTTGCAAATTGAACATATTCGGTCATGAATACTCTGAAACTTCAAGGATTTTAAAAACTGAAGAACGAATGAAAGTTTTTAATGCTTATCTGGGAAAAATGTTGCAACCTGACGCCGCTTTTTTCTTCATATATCATCTCAATGAATGTCATCCATTGCAAAAAATGATGAAAAGACATGAATCTGAGACTGAGAGACATTTCCAATTTTGTTATAAATTTTCCTGACTCTCCATAGACTTTGTACACAATCGCGGAAGTGGCATCAGGTTGCAACATTTTTTCCCTTATCTGAACCTGTATGAAGCATTTATGATAATCTTGGAGGCTGAAATGACAATCAGACATTGGGTATTATCATTACTGACGCTCCTCTGATATCCTTGCCCACTTCTTTTGTGATTGTTGAAATTTTTGTTAGAAAATTCTTTGTTCACACTTTGTACCACAAAATGCCCACAGGGCCAGAGTTTGGAAGCAAGCAGACTGTAAGCGAGTGTTGCACGTGCCCTCACTCGGTTTTCCCGAATAAAGATAACAGCGCCCTCTATAGACCTTATGCATAGCGGCCATCTTAGATGGCATCTTTTGCTATTTTAATTCAGTAACAATGAATACACAAAAAGTTCACTCATACTCATGTGTAAAAGAGCGTGAAAGTTAACTCTTTGAGTACAGAATTAACTGCCTTAATAAGATGTTATTAAAACAATGATCAATGACATTCCAGCTAACACACTGGCTCGCTGTCTCTAGGGGGCGCCATTTTAAGCTCGCTGTACGGAAAGAGTTAATGGACGTACCTGCATTATTGGGATACTCCTGCCACTACCGATACCATGCGAGGGGCGGGGGACGGGCTCAGCTCCATTTTTGGTTTCCGCCTGCTTGCCTTTTCCTGGTTGCTGTAAAGTTGAAATAAAAATGTGGGCGTTTGATTAAAGCTACAGGCCATCATTTGCAGCTATTCAAAGAGAAACTGACGTGATTATTGTTGAAAAACATACTTGGTTGAAAGATAGTAAGGGGACTAAACTCCCTGTGAAATAATTCTTTCTGGCATGCTGTCATTTTGAAGAAATCAACGAAAGAAGGCATTTCCAACGGTGCGTCTTAAGACGCACCGTTGAAAATTTCCGTTAGTAGTTCGTTTTTAATTCGGCAAAGCGCGCTCAAGCATTGACACAAAGCACGCGCGCGCACGCTCTCTATAATACGTCGGATCAGTGCGCGACATTGCGTAGCTGCAATCAGCTAAGTGAGAACGTTTCTCGGACGCTGAATTCAGGCCAATTTCAAAACATGATTCAGCAACTTTTGATTCGAAATCGAGATCCTAGAATGTTGTTTTTCTCGAAATATACAGCTTTAGCTGAGCTGAAACTTCATGAGGTTAGTTGTTCAGCACCCTTCTTTAGATTTTGAGCATCTTTGTTGGGTTAAACAAACAAAATGCACAAATTACAAATGATGGACTATACCTTTAAAAAGTCCCACAAGATGAGTTCAAATAGTGTTGTCTCAATAAGCCTCTGTACTGATGACATCATGCTTAGTTTACATGTGTGCTTTCTTATGGGAGCCTAGTGGGGACCATGGTTTTGTAGCCTCATAGAAAAGCACACATGCAAACAAAGTGTAATGTCATCAGTACAGAGGCTTATTCTATTACAAGTCATCAAGTCTGGAGTCAAGTGATAAACAATTTGAATAGTTGTTGTTTATCCCAACCAACAAAACAGAAATGTCTGTGTAAATCCATGAGGATGTTACTGTAATGAACACTTCCATGCTGAACAATCTTCTGTGGACCCGATTCTGTTTGTTGTACCAACATGCTACTTCGGTCTGAATTCAATAATGGCAGGGACGTGCCTTACCGTAAACAAGTTGGACTTCCGTCGGGATTTGCGGGTGAAGTTGGGCGTACTGCTGGGGCTCGGCTGGGACGAGTCCCGACTCCCCTCCCTGCTGCCCCCACTCATGTTTCTGCGTCCCGCAGTGGGGGTAGGGGGTGCCCCACTGTTGGAGTGGTTAGTACTAGGGGCCGTGGCGTTGGCGGTGCCCTGGGGGTAGGGGCCCGGAATGCCAAAGTTGTTGCTTCGGACGGAGTGGGGGGTGCTTGGGAGGGAGGAACTGGAGGTGGAGAGAGGGCCCAGGGACAGGAACTGTTGGTGCTTGCGCTCTTGGATAATCTGAGCAGCTGTGGATAAAAGATGAAGAAAACAACATTAATAAATGAAAACAAAGCTGTAAGCTGCTTTATTGACTGGACTGACCTGAAGTAGACCAATCATGAAGGTTAGAGGGGCTTGAGTAGGATCTTTTTGCCTTTGATTAAAATTCTGTCTTGACTGGAAATCCATGCCTTCAAACTTTTTAAAAAGTGGAAACTTCATATCCAAATGACCAAGGCTGTGTGGCAGTGTTGTATTTGAGTCCATCACAAATCCTCACAAGTCACAAACAAGTCCTCACAAGTCCCAACACATCCCCACAAGTCCCCCTAAGTTCTCACAAGTCCTCATAAGTCACACACAAGTCATAACAAGAACCCACAGATCCTCACAAGTTACTCATATGTCCTCACAAGTCCATTGTAAGTCCTTAGAAGTCTATCAGAAGTCTATCACAAGTCCTCACAAATCCTCACAAGTCCATCACAAGTCCTTAGAAGTCTATCGCAAGTCCTAACAAGTCCTCATAAGTCACTCACAAGTCCTCACACGTCACTCACAAGTCCATCATATGTCCTTAGAAGTCTATCATAAGTCCTCATAAGTCACTCACAATTCCTCACTCACAAGTCCTCGCAAGTGCTCCAGTCTCAGCTCAAATCACAACCTATTCAAGTGAACTGTGTCACTGACACTCTTATGTTATTCTCCATCCCTTTTTACTTGTGACTACACTTGTAAAAAAAAAACAACTACCAGTACAACACTGCTCTGACCGAAATTTTGGGCCCTCTAACCTTAGTGATTAATTAAAATATTATTATGAAAACGTCATTCTTACATAACATTGGCTTTGAGCATTACATCTCAATGAAGAAAGTGAGAATTGAATGTCTGTCTGTTATTCTAATTCAACAACTAAGGCCAAAAAAAAAATTGTTCTGCCTCCGATTACATGCCTTTAAAAAAATAGGGTCGGTCGATCGGAATTTTTTTTTTTTTGGGCCATTTTTTTTTATGCAGATTTAATGGGGTATTCAATTATATGCGAAGTTTTTAGCCTGAACTATTTCCATTGCACTACGAAAGCTATACACGAAATGGCAACAAAGAGTGAATAAAAACTACTTTTATTTATTGTAAATATATTTACGTTCGATAATTTCAAAAAATAATGGAAAATTCAGGTCGTTCGCACCATATGCACAACGCTAGTCAAGACGCGAGGAGCTGGCCAAAACTCTGAGGTGTGTGATGCGTGCGTGTGTGATGCGTGCGTGTGTGGCGAGCGGCCCACCATGGGCCGACAGACCTGTTTTTATGGTCAAAAATTTTGGGAAACACGCAGCATGTATCACTCCAAATACGAGTAGTGCGATCTCAAAAAGAAACCCTTGAAAACCAGAAAATACATACACAGACAAGCTAGATCAATTCTGTAAATTAACTTGCAAAAATGTTCTTTCTCCATCGGTATTTTCTTGGCATTTTTACGATGTCGAATCTGACCAGTTGACAGTGGCCTGCACTGCTAGCGTGCTATCGGTCGCATAGCTATGGACTGGTTACCGCATTTTCATCATGTCTTCTAAATTGGCCCCTGCGCGGCGCGGTGGGAACCAGTCGTCACCACATGATTATAGTCGCCGTGACATCGCATTGCGAAGTAGCTATATCGCGAAGCGAATTTGTAAAAATAACGGAGGTTTCTTTTGAAAAAAAGCGAATGTAAGTAAGAAAACAAATAAATACAAGCATTTTTTTATGCAAAAGGGTTGTTGAGAGGTATTTTGTGAAGACAGAAAAGACAACAAAATTTTATTTTTATTTATTCAATCTTTTTTTCTTTTTTTTTTGTAATTGCCGATAAAATTGTTAGGGTAGCAGCCTAAAAATAGGGTCGGTCAGGTAACCGGAAGCAAAACTGTTCTATTTTTTGGCCTAATCTTTCTTTTGAATGTACTGTACAACTAAAATAAAAATTTCCGAATGAATTAAACGCCACTAGTACAGCTGATACTTTTAATTTATAACTTCAGTGAGTATCAAAACATCTTGTAGCCACACTCCTGAACACGTCATGTTTTTATACACAAGAGAAATAAAGAACCACCTAATTCTTCCTTAATGAATATTCTGTTGCAACAAGCAATATGCGCATTCCATCACCGCAAAGCTTGCCTTTAGGCCTAGCTTTAACAAACCGGTAGAAAAAATTCTTGTCACACAAAAAAAAAACCACAACAGAGCCTCGGTTGGGAAACCTTTCCCCCAGATGGTTGGGAGTAAAATCCACTGAACAAATCTCGCCTCTGTGCTCCTTGTCACAATGGCTGGTCGATAATGGCTCCCCTATTTGTCATACACCAGCAATGGGCTATTGGGCCCGTGGGATTTGGAGAACCTACAGAAATCCTTAACAGAATTTGTGGTGGTTTCATTTACTTCATACACATTTCAGTCTGTTGTTCACACAATGTGAGGCTGATCCACATCACACAGCCAGTAGCAAGATGGAAAGATTTTATTCCACCGATATCAGTTTAACGTTTTTACTGACATGTGTACTTTTTTGCTTACACCAATACGAGCTTGACGCAACTGCACAACAGCATCTTTGTTGATACAGACATTTTTTTGTGTTCATTTAATGATTGTAAAATGGAGACTTTCCTACCACCGGCAGGTTGTATTTTCTACCGATATTTTATTTTTACCAGTGAATTTCACAGTGAAACCATCCCATCAAAATCAAAATAAACAAAATATGGACATTCAATTCACCACATGTAGTGATAATTCCCAATTCACCATTTTCAACTCATTGTAGTTTGCCCCTATTACATACATACATGTACCACTGTAAGGACACAGATCTATATACAAAAAAGTGACTATTTTTAAAGCAAAGGAAATGTGGTGATTGAACTCACCACACATGGTGATAAATGCCAACTCGTCATTTCGGAAGATTTTGTCCAAAAATAGATGATGCCAAGCAAATGTACCACAGTAAAGACAAATTATTGTACAAGGAGAGCGTTCCTTTCATGAAAAATGTGATGACTGAACTCACCACACATGGTGATAAATGACAACTCACCATCTTGGAAGACTCTGTCTACGTTGAGACCATACATTGCACATGTTTCGTAGTAAGGACATCTCTTAAGGTCAGCTGCTAACTTTCTTGCTCTTGAATCATCGATGACCCTTGGCGTGTTCTGACTGACCGTGTCTGAACAAAGAAAGAGGGGAAAAAACGAGAAACCATCCATTGGTCAATAGGGTGTATGTGTAATAACCATGTGGTGAAAATTCAAGCATTACCATTGGAGGGAAGTAAGGCCACATGCATAACCCCCCTCCCTTATATAAACAGTGTCTTTTCCACTGTACATGGACACGTATGTGAATGTACATCACAACTTGGGATGTACCGTAAGTCGAATCCATGACAAGTGCAGGGACTTGTGATGGACTCGACTCTATCCCTGAATTCACGATGCAATTACATGTACTACCCCGGATCATATATCCAATAGTGCTGAATAACAGACATGGTCATAAGTGTACACGCTGCGGTCCAATGGTTACGGTGTTTGACTCATGTGCCATGGTACGTTGGTTTGAACCCTGACGGGGAACATAGTGCTTGTGTTCTTGGGCAAGACACTTTACTACGATTGCCTCTCTCCACCCCAGAAGTATCAACTGCGCTGATCTCAAGCTGCTGCAGAAAAATTGTCTCATTCCTGATGAACAGGGACAATAATCGTAAAGCCCTTTGAAACCTTACCGGCAGTATAAAGCGTTATAAGTACCACATTACTATTATTATTATCTTAAGAACAATACAAAAATGTGCATGTGCATGTACATGAGGCTATTACAACAGATGTGCACTTCTCATTCAAGTTGCCTTTTATGATCATCCAAACAAGAGGTCTCTAATGAAAATAAGAAAACACCAAAAGAATTCCTTCTTTCAAAAGGCCGAACACCTTCTTAAAATAGACACACAAGAGCAACTTCCAGTCTTTCTGCAGCATCGTGGGATTCTCAAGACTTGGGGAAGAAAATCTTTTAATCGCAACGCCCCAGGGCTCAAATACAATTTGCAGTGGGATCAATGGTGATTTCACATTAAAAATGTGCCTGCGGCAAATCTGTGCAAAAAAAAGAAAATGAATTTCTGCCCGTAAAAATAACACTTTGATCTTTATCAGAATGCATGACGCACATTAACCAAACAACCAGGTATGTACAGTACCTGTACATGTACTACACAGGACTGTTAATTACACACTGCAGGATGTCATGTATTTTGTACACTGTACATTTTATAAAGCGGTTGAACATAACAAGATACACACGTACATTGTATGCTAACATTTTGAATGTTATTCTTAAAAGATGTGTTTTTCAGTCGGTCAATCTTACATTTTGGCACTAGGGAATTGCAGGTGTTTTTGTTTGCGTGCATGTTCTTTCTTTTTTTTACTGGATTTTGTCCAACAAATTGCCAGAAGGCCGCTACAAGTTGAGGGCATTAGGGACAGAATAAGATCCGTTTGCTTTTCTCCTGAATAGCGACAGATTATAGATGGAAGGAAAACAGGATGTACGTAGAGAGTTCCAAAAAAGCAGCAGCATCAGTGAAAAATCAAAGAAAACTTTCTCACAGTTGTGAGTTTTGGAGCAGAATACAGAAAGGATGCTGAGACTACAAAGTGTGTGCAATGAGTAAAGGTGTTTCGAAAAATGATGCCTTGTCGAGACCCGGGTATAATACGGAACAAAAGATTGTAAAGGTTCTCCACAAGGGTGAATAGGTCTCCACAATGATTTCATGAAATAGATATATGGATTTTTCTCAAAAACTAGGAATTTCCAAGGTATACTTATCCATCGCAAATTTAAGTATTTTATGTAATAGATATTTGGTCGGAATTTTAACCCAGGAAAGTAATTCTGGTTAAAATGGGAGCATTTTGAAAACAGCTTTCGACCCTCTCACGATTTTGTACAAGAGAACGAAGCGATGTCTCTACAAGGATACAAATTTGAGAATGGGTGGGCACAGAATGGGTTATTGGAGAAAGATCTCTGGGAAAATAAAATCTGTGAATCTGGAAATAATTTACCAATTTCAAAGTTTGTTTTAACGTTGTTTCTATAGAATCCAAGGCCATTTTTTATTGGGAACGGCAATAAAAACAGAACAGAAATAATCACAGATGTACATGTCGTGTATGGATGTTATTGTTATAATATAATAATAACATCCATATCCATACATCCTTATGATAATAATTGTAACAAGGAATTTCATAAATTGAAAACAAAATTCAAAAATGTTTAAATGACTATGTCTTTATGAGTGTCACTTGCAAAAAGCACATCCCCAAAAAGAGGGGGGGGGGGCGGAAGCTGCATTCCCTTTTTAAAAATCTGTCTTGACCGAATCCAAGTCAACTCCTTGCCTTCCGTTTCCCACCTCTGGGATGCCTAAATGTCCACATCACAGCGCCAAATGAGGCTGCGTCCAATGGCAGTGCTGAGGGAAGCAATCGGTAATGAGTGGAGTACATCATTAATCACCTGTGCCTATCTGACTTGACCTTTTACCAGGAGTCGGTCATCCGTACTACGGAGCAACACAGGGTAACTTGGGCGTAGACGCTATGCCTCGTATTCCACCGGATCTCAACGCAGCAATTTCAATGTCGTTACTTCAGATTTTTCCCAAATTGGAGTAATGCCTGACTGAGGGAAAGTTGTGACCACGCCAGGCACATTTGTTTTGACTGATGATGTACTGAAGGAACTGTTGGATTACCTTGGGGCCGGTGCGTAATTACTTTGGTATACGTAATTACTTTGGTGTACGTGTACACGTTCCATCAATGCCTCGGTTCGACAAAGTGAATTCAGAATTTCCATACTTTCCAACTTTGAATGTACAGTCAAATGTAGAAGTGTCTTAGTTTTTAACCCATCCCCCAATTAAAGTTACAACTAAAACTAAAGCATATAACATTTTCGTTCTGAAGCATAAAAATCTGAAAATGAGACTTAACGGTTTGCATGATGTTTGTCATCAGTCTCCTGGTGACGAACAGAGCATACTGTTTGAAACGTCGAGTTAAACCAACTGGTTCTTCTCACAACCACACAACTCACTAAAAGAGATATCATTCAAATGGTGTTACTGCAAACCTCCCATTCAAAAATCTGAAACCTTAAAAAAAAGGTTGCACTGAATTTGGATTTAAAAATTGGGATTGTTTTGGATTATTTCAAAATGTTTACACATGATCGGACGGAGGCTGATTGCCTACAATGGGATTTCTCATCAGCAATGTCCACATTTCAAAGCTGTTTTTACTATCAGTAGGAATAGCAAAAGGCCTCATCATATTCGTAAGGCATGTCCATAACCGTCAGTTCGAGTGGGCAAGGACAAGACTTATTTTGTGGTGAGCGCTCTTCACATATCTTCAGTTGCCTATGATTCATCATCCGCAATACCTTTCACCGCTAACCCCTACATCTCAAGGACTAGAGCCGTGACGTACTCCAAGTGCTACAAGCAACGTTGCCGTCTCGTCTGCCTCCGTTCTTTTCTTATGCGGAGACAGTCTGAGGACTTCCAACAATAAAATATGAAAAAAACCATCCCGCACTTTGGCACTTTGTCACTGTAGATCGTCTGTCCTCCGAGTCACATCCAAGGAAATTGGTTCTCAGATGGAGCATCAAAATGACGAGAGGATGGACCATAGAGTTATATTAAATTACTAGAGCGCTAACTTGATGTACAAAGAGATGCCTGATGGGCGCATCCATGTTTGTACACAAACCTATGGAGAACTAGAAATTGTGTACGTCTTTTGTATGTCTATTTGCATATCTACGTTTGTCTTCCATACCAGTGCGTCATCGAAGCCGATACGCCCAAAACCGAAACGCACTATCAGCAAATGACCATGTCATTATGCTCTACGCAAACAGCGCAAAGTGTGCGCATCCCTCCACTGCAGATGTTTTTTGCCGTGAAGTTTTTTTAACCGTCATGACGCACTTAAGTTGTTTGCGTTCTACTTTTACTTATACTTAGCGTACACTTTTAAAATTCAATCTATCTATTTTGATTGTGTTCTACAAACACGCACATAAATTAAAAAAATGGCTGCGCCCAGAACGGCTTCAAAGCTTCTCCGTGCGCAAGAATGAAGAGTTAGCGCTCTAGTAATTTAATATAGCTCTATATGGGATGGACAGATTTCATGCAACTGCCATTTTCTTTAGCACAAAGAGGTGCTGTGAAAATGCAATTTTCTGTGTACATACTGGTACTGTCAAAATAACACTTTTTTTTAAAGCAATTTAGCGATCTTACTTCAAAGTGAAAATAAAAATTGTGGGATTATCACATGTAATCTTATGTCAATAACCCCAGATTCATGATTGTTAACCCTAAACACCTGGGCCCTTTTTGCTAGGAAACCTCCTCAATATACCAAAATTGTGCGTTTGTTCAAATGAAGGATACCCACTGCCTCAATCCTTCAAAATCCTCCAACAAGCCCTGCCTCTCAAAACACATTCAGCCTCAATCTTCCAAAATCTCCTCTTCTTCAAACACCATTCATCCTCAATCGTCCAAAATCAACCGATACTGAATGTCCAAGTGCCCTCGATCCTCTGCAATCCTCCAAAATTGTATGTTGCATTCATCCTCAATACTTCAGAATCCTCCTTTTTTTTAATGTAAAAATATTGCCTTTTCTCAGAGATGTTTGTCTGGATGGCAGAATCAAATGCCACAAAATTTGGTGTTTGCTTCTAGAATCCATCTGACTTGGGAAGACCACTGTGGACTGGATAGCCACCCACATCCAGTACTGATTAACCATCTGTGGGCAGGGCTCCTAGCATCACAGCAAATACTTCCTCTTTGGTTTTTATCGAGTTAGTGGGAGGTTGGGAAAGGAACGTAGGGCAAAGGTCCATCTTCCGAAGATTAATCACCCCCTGAGAGGACCCAAAGAGAAATTTATCAAGCGCACTAAAAGCTCTAAGAGGCTCTAATGTTTTGTCTTCATCAATCTTTTTCTTAAATCAATCCTGGTAATTAATTTTGTAAAAAACATCCGAGGCTTTGCCACGCCTGGACAGCAGTGTTCATGCCAAGCAACATATGTTAGAGTTTTCCCTTACACAAGACGGCGAAGATTATTAAGAAGGGCTTCAAATGCACTATTGCTGAACTGCTGAGAACGACCTAAAACCAATCCAGGCAACATAGTTCTGGTTGCCAATCAAGCAATGTCACAAAATGCCAAGAATATTAATAAATTGCAAGTCCAGATTAGCAGTACAAATTTTCAAAATAGAAGTTATTTCATTGCGAAGGAAAATGAGTAAGATTTGAGGCTTTGCATGGTGGAGATACTAAATAATGAAAGATTTGCGGAAACACCATGTGCGAATAATTTCTCAACTAAGAGAATGGTTCTGAAAAGAACCAGAGGTATAAACTCGACGTTCCGGTCAGTATGCTCTGACCGTCTTCAGGAGAGTGCCTAAACTCTAAGAAAGTAAACACGCAAGTACCAAAAGCGAAATCGATGAAGTGTGAAGTTGCATCCTGTGTGGATGCCAAGTAGCTGGGAAAATGCATTTCACCTCTAGATTCTATCCCTTTAAAAAATGGAGATTTTTTTCTTCATTGTCAAGGCACTTTTATGAACCAGGTTTCTGCAAAACTGTGTCTCCATTTTTAGAACCATGTTCCTGCAAATAACCAAACGTAACTGTTGGGAAACGTCATATTTAGATTTCAGATGAATTGTCCTGAATAAATCTTATTCAATAGGAAGCCATATTTGATCGTGTTCCCTGCGTCGAAGTTACAAATTGTAAACTGTTGAATGGGATGGTGCCAGACTATTTTATGACTGAAGTGCGTTGCAAGCCTCACTTTCTTTCTTTCTTTTTCAATGTGGCTTAAACATTAGGGTACGTGTTTAATCACAAATGTTAAGTTCTTCATCAAAGCAGACTGGTATTAATTTGTAATGAACTTTGCTTTCATTTCTACTTGCAAGTTCCAAAAATGAAGAGTTTACCTCACTTTCACTTTCAACTCAGTATGGCTGACTCAAGAATAACGTCTATTCTAATCCTTACTGACCAGATTTTGTAGTCAGGCGTCCACAAGTCAATCAAAAGTCTTCCAGTCTCAAGTCAAGTGACAGGCTATACAAATAAACTATGACAAATGCACTAACCATGACCCACTTGTGATTTGACATGTGATTGACATGTGATTGGCATGTGACTGGCATGTGATTGCCATGTGATTCCTACCTTGCGTGCCGACCAGTATCATGGGCAGATCTGCCGTGTTTCTGTAGTGGGCAATCTTGGCGTAGAAGTTGTACAGGAGCTGGAAGCTCATTTCGTCTTCCACGCTGAAGACCAGAATGACGGCATCCACCCAGGAGCAGAACTGGAGCTCGGGAGGGCCGCCTTCATCCCGGATGAGGAGGAGGTAACTCCGGTCATCCACGACAATCTCCTTCTTGAAACGGCCTCCTATTATTGGAGTAAAACAAGAGAGAAAACATCAGTATTCCTTTCAAGGGTACCTGTTCAGAAGTGAATGTAATCAATTGTTTTTCCTAAATCTTTTTTGGACAAGCAACTACGCTTATTAGGTGACAGTCAAGTGGTTACAGTATCTACACCAGTAAACTGGAAGTTGTAGGTTCAAGTCCCTCAACAACAACAAAAACCTGTGAATTTGTTTCTGCTTCTTGCAGGATCTTGGGAAGTACTGAAAATTCTGCCGTAATAAAAAGACACATTTTTTTTTGGGAGGGGGGGAGGGGCAGAGGGAGTGGGGGTGACATTTTGTTATTACAGCAAGTCTCAAATAGTATTGGGCTCCATGCACCAACAAAAGAGGGCGCGTTTTGACCACTTTTGAGAGCCCCTTGCGTTTATGTGTCTGTGCCTTGGACGGGACACCGCGTGTGCGTACTGTATTGGTTCGCGCGCGAAGTACGCACGACTTGTTTATCCTGAATGTGCACCAAGCTAAGCAATAGTGTCTTCGCGCGTAAGCGCCAGGCGACGGCGGCGCGCGAATACGTTCGAATTTTACTTGCGATGGTCTCCAGCGCCAGACTAATCCCCGCCCCCAATAACTTTGGATCATTCGAAATACGCAGTGGATGGACCGGGAACCAGTCTAGGTCTCGCCCAACTCTCCTTTTCTGGCCGTTGAAGGGGTACTTGTGCACGGAGCCCATAATTTCATTGGACCAGCGCATCAACTGTTAAAGCTGTAAAAAAAATGTACCCCAGGTGCCATGCATCCCTCAGGTTTAAAAATTTCCATTTCCCGAATAACAGAAGTTGCAATTTGTTTAATGAATTTCTTAAATTATTGTATCCCCTCTCTCTTTGAATGATACAGAGTTTTGAGAGAAACGTAGGCTGCATCCTTCACATGTTTTTCTCGGCTACGGCTTGCAATAACACATGTGTCTATGGAAGCGGCTGAGGCCACTTCCCATAGACACCTGTATTACAGCCAACCATAGCCGCACAATGTGATTGGCATGTGACTGACATGTGACTGACATGTGATTGACATGTGATTCCTGTATTACAGCCAGCCATAGCCGCACAATTCCTACCTTCTGGGGATTCTTCCTGCATGTAGGATCCCGTCAGGTATCTGTGGACCAGCGCCGATTTCCCACTGGTTAGGCTGCCCACGACACCCTGCAAAAGAGGTGAAACAGAAATAATAATAATAATAATATCGGAGTCTTATATAGCGCACGTATCTACCAACAATTAGGTACTCAAGGCGCTGGAAATTATGTCTATTATTAAAGAAAGGTATTAATAAAGTTTATGAGAAAATATGAGACTCATTATGTAGTACCTTATAATGGTTTACAAGGTACTGCGGCGCATATTGCAGCCACTGCCAGAAACACCGGGGCAAACCCCTTGTCTTAGCGATAAGTGTTGCTGGGTTCTTTAACGTGCCAGAGGTGTAAGTGACCACTGATAAAAATAGCTGAAAACAGCTGGAAAAAGGTGTAAAAATGCTGAACTTTAGATATCTCCTATACTTTTGTACACAGCAAGTGAGGGAAAAAGCTGAAAAAAGCTGAAATCCAAAACCAAAAAAAAGCTGAAATCAGCTTTAAAGCTGAGATTTCACACCCCTGCGTGCATTACACAACACACGGGACCTACGGCTTTACGTCCCATCCGAAGGACGAAGCAAGAATGGTAAAGTGCCTTGCTCAAGAGCACAAGCACCATGTTCCCACGGTCAGGATTCGAACCCATGTACCACGGCACACGAGTCGAACACCGTAACCATTGGACCACAGCACCCCACAAATAAGGATGATGGAACTGATGTAGTGTCCTCCATTTTGATAAGGTCTGCATAGAGTAATGAAGGAAAAGGCGTCTAAAATATAAAGGGTATACTGTCTGACTACTTGGCAACAATACATCATGTTACAGGAAAATCATCTGAATTTCTTAAGGCTATGTGAATGTACATAAAACACTCAAAAGGACCAATATTTCTGTTTGTTTATTTTGTTTTGTCCATCTCCTTTCTCTGTTTTTCACATTATTTCATCAAAGAAAAAAAATGATTTTAATATGACAACATGTACCTGTACCCTGACAAAGATACAGACTTCTGAAAAACTCATTTTGTAAATTACACCCCGTCTTGATTGATTAATCCAACAGGAAATTTGACAAAGAAACAAAAGTCGTTTCATCCCATATTCTCTGAAAGATACAATGTCAGACACTGCTTCGGCAAATGCAATTCAAACTGTACTCGGACTCATCTCCAGTTACCATGACGACTATCTTCAATGACTCACTAGCAACCTTGGACAGAGTGAGGACGTGCCGTTACTTCCGACTGTTTACCCCCCCCCCCCCCAATTTCTTGACCACTGTCCAGTGTAGCAGCATGTAATATACCAAGCAGCATTAATGAGCCCTTGTTAATGAGCCCTTATTAAGGGAGGCTTTCTGGAAGGACAGTGCCGGTAGGTAATTAATGACAGGGTAGTAAGTTGTGGGGCCCTTGCGCAAACAAGACAAATGAAAGCACATTTGGATGGTACACTGTTTTTGCCTGATAATTCAGCAGGATTGAGGCTATATGGTTAAAATGTGGGGCTGATTTTGGAGGAAGCACTGTGTCAAGGTCTTGGGCCGGACCTTGTGTTGTTTATGCTCAGCCGTGCATCCTAAAATTTAGGCCTAGATTACACTTGAAATCCTCTGCACTGCTCCAGTATGTACATGTACGTGTAACCGGCTCTGCCTCAACATACATGTATTGAAAGTGATTACTGGAGGATTTTGCAGGATTGGGACCACATTCAAGAAATAACAGAGGATTTTGGAGGATTGAGGCTGTATGCTATTTCTACATGGAGGCAGTTGGAGGATTTTGCAAGACTGGGGTTCTATCCTAGCAAAATGCCCAGGGAGTTACAGTGTAGGGTTAAGGAAACATGGGTGCAAACATCCATTTGCCAACTTGGTGAGTGAAAGACCAAAATTCATTATTTTCTTTTTAAGCGCGTTTACTTTAAACGGTACTACTTACCAATTTGAGTTCTGGCACTGTTCTGCTTAGCGTCCATTCTTGACTGTTCACAAAGGAATCTGTATGTATGCACACAAAAATAAGCAAAAAGGAAGCACTTAATATAATAACTTCAATTTAAGAGCTAAATATTTGTAAGTATTTCATACATGCGCATGTAAGCTATCATCAAATCGACATTCAATCATTTCTGACATTTCTAGACCATGTGCGAGCCCACACAAAGGAATGCCATCGTGATACCAGCGAGTTCATCCATACAAAGAAAATGTGCAGAGAGAAAGAAGAAACTTTAATTCCCCTTTTTCAGCACAGCTGAAATTCAAGCTTTGTTTACGTTGCCATCTGAAAGGAAATGCTATGTTTACAAAATATGTCAGAATGGTGTACAACTAGGGGTTCAATTTAGGCCAACAAATTGCATCATTGTATATTGTCATTACATGGCTCGGGGTCCTTTTATGGAATTTCTTTGTATGGGATGTCACACAAGTGTTCATGCAGGCATGCGAATTGAAGATTAATTACAGAGGCGACTCAATAATACAATCAAGATTTACAATTGAATGATGGAATTATACTGGGCAATTGTAAAAGGTCATAGATTTAGGATGTCAGGATGCAAACGTGTGTATAATAAAAAAAAAATGGAATGAAATTTTCAGCAAAATAATTCCTACATTACAGCATCAAATTCTGTGTATACTTTTATCAGAGATAATTTTTGTGTACAGTCATCAGAATTTTTTTCTTATTTTCAATAGCAAACCTACATTGCCTTAATCTTTAACCCTTACCCTCCAAAGATCTCTCCAAAAATCCGCCTGCAGGTGTTGATGGATTTTGTAGGATTAAGGAAGGTAGGGAGAAGCCACTGTACATGGGGCTTTGGTACCCCTTGAAAGTTTCAAGTACATGTACGTGCTCACAGAAATTGAGGGAATATTTATTTATTTATTTATTTCTTATTTTAACTGGGTAGCCCATTCAGTGGAATCCACTGATCTCCCATGGGTCCCAGTACAGAGAAGACAACGTGAAGAAATTACAGTTTGAGGTGGGAGGAAAAGCCAAGAAGAGTATAAATCTGAGGAAAACCCACGGAATCAGGTAGGGACTGAAAACCCAATCCACATATTGACCCAGGCGGGATTCGAACCCGGGGACACAGCGGTGGAAGGCGAGGAAAGTACGGCTCTGCCAACCTGACTCCCCTATATGGTGTCACCTGACACAAGTTTACAGTATGATTGAATGCATTAGTTAACATTTTTCATCAAGTGAACAACCAAAGTGATGATGGGCCCGCCAAAACAATGCGATCCTCCTACCCCGCCCCCCATCCCTACCAAGTACCACTACCCCTACCAAGTACGGTACCACTACCCCCCCCCCCCCCAACAAGGGGCATTACCCCAACCTAAAGCAATCAACGTGCACAAGATGTACAGCAGAATCCCAGTCAACTAGACAGGACATAAAAACTGCACACAATAAGACGCACTTCCACAGTACACCCACGCCAGCACACACATGGCTCATCCCTGATTTCTCAGCTCGATTCTCCCGTCTCATTAAAACCTGTGTCCGGCTGAGTGGGTTTATCGGTCGCGCGTTCTTATTACGCAGTGGGTGTTGGTGATGAAAACATATGGCAGCGATCACGAAACAAATCTGGACACACTGTGAGTAGGCCTACTGAGCAGTGTGGTAGCATTCATATGGCCAAGTGATGTTACACAACTTTAATAGTCTTTTAATTTGTGGGGTTAAAGAAAACTCAAAAATCAAACGTACATGCAAGTTTACATTGATTCAAAAGCAGTTCAAGCAACAATCAAGAGCAATCAATGCTGTACACTGTACACAAACATGTACATGTACAAATGAGTCAAGCGCCGCAATTTCTTTTTAACAAAACTTCACAAAAATCACAATCCTATTTCCATTAATAGGGGAGATTATCTTGAATCTGAATATCTTCAACACACAAAATATTAATATTTAAAAATATTTTGAATACATGTACAAAAGAGTTACTATTATTGTCAAAACAACTTTCAGGGACAATGATCCTAAAAACTAATGCACTGCACTAATTTCAGCCCACTCCTATCCTTTCTGTCAATATTTTCCTTGCAAACTTCGATGGTCAAAGCATATTGAGTGTGCACTACAACGCAAAATACATGCAGGTCAGGTCGTGTCAAACATGGACCTCATATGTCACATGCATGCGCAAACACATTGGGCCCATCCCAGCAGAACTAATTCCGTTATCTTTTTGCGTCAGACTTGTTTGCCCCACAGACACAAAAACCAAGAAATATCTTTTTTTTTAAACAGACAAAAACTTACAACAACCTTGCTATCTGGTCTATTTTGTTGCTTTTATTTTTTAAATAGGATGATTTATTACTGTATATCATCTGAAATGAAGTGTAAATGTTGCTCGGGGTTGAAGATGAGTCAGTGTATGTCCCGAGTCGAGTGAAAGATGGCTTGCTGAAAGAAATTGAAGTGGATATTATCTTAAGGCATGCAGTATGCTGTACACATGTACTGGTACCACAGGCCGATAAATTATCTAAATTTACTACCACCATCTGAATCTCAAAATGTTGGGTGTTGAAACAGGAATTTTGATTGTTGAAGCCTGCTCTTCTTTGGCAAAGCACTGATGCAAAATTTCATCTCTATTCCTCAATTCCAATAAAAGAGCGAGCCTCGGACTAGATTATAGCACCCTTGAATGAATGCCTCTGATGACACAGGATGAAGACGGGCAGGCCTTACTGAACACACACAATGAAATTACACAGATACATGTGTACGGTTCATTACCTCTTCGTTTCCCTTCGGCCGACATTGACCCAATTACTTTCTACACACCCACTGATCGCTGATCTCGCTACCAGCCCACCGAACCCCAATTTTTTTATTCCTTTGAGATTTCGTCAAACCAAACCATTCTTTCTCTCTCTCTCTTCTATTCTGATGTGATTTAATTAAACCGCCGGCCGGCAGTCTGCCCCGGCGGCCCCAGTAGACTACCGCATATGTACAGTTTCAGCCCTGATTAATTGAAATGTTGCATTGATCGCCGAGACCAGTATACACAATGACCAATGCAGACGTACAATGTACATGTGCACGAGCTTAGCAGCACACATGCCCAACTGTATACAAACATGTACAGGTACATGTACAATGGATAGTACCGGTACATGCATCTCTCTACGTATCTGAGAAGTGACTGAGTATTCGATTGAGTTAAACTCAAAAGGAGAATTAAATTTATAAACAAGGCTTCAAATTGTGATTGTGAATCAAGTCAATTAAAGGCCTGCACCTGTACATTTTCAAAGTGTATGTATTCATACTGTACAATTACAAATTTGAAGTCATCTGAATGAAAAAAAAACATGTCTCAAAAACATTTACAATTCAATGATTTTTGGTATTGTATTGTATACATGTATGTTCATGTACAGAATTTGTCAACTTTAAATTAAAGAAATTCTTTAATGTTAACTTATGATTTGCCAAGAACTGTTCAAGTGCGCAAATTATATAAGGGAACACTCAGCCGATTTTGCGCCCGATTTCCGGACGGCGGACGCCACCGTTTTTGAATTTCGGACTAAATTTCATGACACTGAAATTGTCTCCAAAAGTTAAACAGCAAGCATAATACAGGTACAAGAAGCAGTACTGGTATTTAACTGAATGAATTTAAAGTTTGTCAATAAAGAGGTGTGGCAACACTGCATGAGGAAAAGCGAGTGAAACGTCGAAGTGTGCCACGTTTAGTTGCCTCATTAAATTTGGGTCTTGTTGCTGAGGGCATAAGCCCACATGTAACATTACTTTTGTCAAACTCTATCTCAAACATAGTCAAAAAGCATAAAACAGTTGTTTGTCAGAGTATCGAAAGCAAAGCGCTGGACAAACAGTGAACATATGGCACGTTCTGTGAAACACTCGAGACAGGCAAGAACAGGCCGCGACGGCCTGCAAGGAGAGTCTATACAGTCCCCTACTTAACGTTGACTCTGACATGATGATCAGTCCCAGCCAACATGGACTTGATGTTCTCAGCGAAAAAAAATCAATAGGCACATGTTCCATTACATGAATTGGCATGTACAGGTACTGAGCTGCATGTTGAGGGCCTGACATTTCTTTTTCTGCCCTAGTACTAGTAGTAGCCTATAGTTCATGTCGCTGTGGTCGGATTAGATGGGGAAAAAATATCACTGACAGTACACATACATACTGTACATGTACATGTGCATGGAAGTTGTACTTGTACATGTAAATTACATGAACAATTTACTTTAGGCCCAAAAAAAAGTCTCCGGTTTCTGGTATGGAGCTTGCCCAAAAATTGGTGCGGCGACGCGGCTTTTTTTTTTTACCTGATTTGTTTGCTTCAAATGTCGGCTGATGACTGCAAATAGTGCCCGACTAACTTAGTGCAAATATATGGGAGTCCAGAGAGGCCACATAAAGCTTATTCTCGACCATAACCCAATCTAAAAACACGTTAAAATTGTGCAGCAGCAGGATTCCAGTCAAACCAGTGAGTTTGGCAGTTTTGAGACATCATCTTTCATTGAAAAAAAAACTTTTTCATTTTGCCGACGCACATGGCTACGGCGAGCATACCAGAAACCAGAGACTTTTTTTTTGGCCTTATGCACATGTACTGTACATGTACATACAGGACCCAATTCCACAATGCTGCTTAACAGTACATGTAAGCAAAAAAAGTTGTGCTATTTCATGGCATGGATGTGCTGACGGTCACATGTGCATGGAGATTTCTATTGTTACGGAAAGTAATTTAAGAAAATCTTTCCTCTGAGGTACACTAGCTGTAAGCGTGCCTCTTGCTGTGCTAATTACTGCTTAACCACTGCATACATATCAAACTTCTCACAACTAAAATGAAAATCAAATTTCTGTGAAGTAGAGTTTCATTTAACGTTTCTTTGAAGCAGTAAAAGTGAAACAAATCAACTTCAGATTGTAAGGCACCACACGAATATCTCAT